ACAAGTAATAGAGAGAATGAAAAGAGAAAAATTGAATTAGACGTCATCATTTTTTCAAAGTTCCCTTTTTAAGTAGAATACGTTTTATCGATGAAAATGGATTGCAGTTCTGAGAACGAATTATGTCAATGTGTTTGAGCGTTTTTTCATATTTTCTTTCAAATATTTATTAACTTGTGACATTTTCACAGTTCATGTTATAGGAAATTTCGTTATAGCGAACGACGATTTAAATTATTTTGTTGGAGTGCTCATTATTCTATTTATAGTTGAAAATGGCATGAATAAGTTGGATTCATTTATGGGTCATCAAAGCATTGAATCATTAAATTCTAATACAATTTCACTTTAAAAAAGTTTTTTGAACAATATAATATTTATCGTTTGAAAATGAATGTTTTTGAGTTCAAAGCTCAATTTTGAAGATTTGTTGTTGTATCGTGAATTTCTTTGATTCATAATTGGAAATAATATATTGGTCAATACAACAGTAGTAGTAAATTGATTTCTGCACGACGGAGAAAGGTATAATAATATTCATTTCTGGTTTTTACTTTTTGTTCTAAATTGAAGTTTATTCAATTATTTTTTCACCAAAAAACGATAAATTCAATCAATTTACAAAGTCCATAGGAGATTTTATTGTTAATGATATTTTACGTTAATTCGGTTCAAACGTTGCATTTTGCCTTTTGGTGTACGAAGAAATATTCAACTGTTTACTAGTAATTGCCTATTCTTTGTTGCAAAAACAAACATATGTAAATGAATAATTATAGTTTTAAGAAATAACTAATCGGAGATTAATCAATAGTTAGATTCTATTTATCAGCAAAAAAACGTCACAAGTATTCGAAATCATTTGAACAGTTGACTTAAAGTGATTAGATTTCATATAAACATGAATATCTCACCAGACATTCCCTTTTTTGTTTGCAAGTTAAGATAATAAACATGTCTATGACATTGCATTTGTGTAACATCATAAATGACGTCTAGAGAAACTTCTTTGTATAAGCTAATAATGTAATGCATTAACTACCAATATGACAAAAGCAAATTTTAATTGTTTAGGTAAAAGAAAGTGAGTTCTAATCAATAAAAACCTTTTAATGTTGTCCTTTCTCCTTTCTGATTTTGATGGAGCGGGGAAAGATATTTAGTAAGAAATGGGGGATTAATTTCCTCAAAAACTCCTAGCAAAATGAGAAAATTTCTATCCATTATAATTATGTAAAGGGGTAACGCAAAAATTTGATATCTCAGGGGGGGTAATCCCTCCTCCCCCAGTCTGCCCAGCTATGAATTTTGAAATGATCTATCTTTCATAATGGGGTAGTTTTGAATCAAAGAGTTGCCAATTTTGGATTTCGAACAAAAAATGATATCAATTGATTTTGAGAAGCACAGTTCAAATCGAATATATCTTATATCAAGCGATTTATTTGATCTGAACTGTCCTAGGAACTATTCTTCTCTGATCAATGATTTGTGAAGTATTTTGTTGATTTGGACCAAATCAAATCATACGATGAAGAATCCAAGAAATATGTTGAAAATGATAAATTTTGCTCAAAAACTATGCCTATGATTTAATTTTAGATTTTTTCAAATTAAATTACAAAAATCGAAAAAATTGATTTGAGCCAATTTTATTTTATTTATTTTTATTTGAATGCATCATCTCAAATCATGATTTTTAGAATAATTTGTTTATTTCATTTTCAACAATCCACAAAATAGGGACATATACACGGTTTATCAATATTTTCTACCTACTGCAATAGCAACCAGGCTCATTCGGTACGCAAATAAAATGAATTCCTCGTTTTGTTTGATTATCTAAACGCAGGTTTATTTATTTAGCATAAATAAGTGAAAAAAGATCTCAAAGATCTGCCAAACGTGAGCAATTATAACTGACAAAACTATGTACTGAAAACAAAAAGATATTATCTCAATTTTAATGAGTAGCATAAAAACCAACTTTTATATTTCATTCTAAAGTTCCGTTAAAAACTGTAACAGTCGAATCAAAATGAGAGAAAATAAAAATGATCGCGAAAACAAATGCTCGAAAGTACAAACATATTGAATGCTACTGAAAACAAAATTTGCTGACGACAACAAGTATTTTCCATTATGCACACAAACCCGGCGAATTAGAAAAAAAACACAATAAAATTGACACGAGCAAGAATTGAACTGTATACAGAATATGTTATGAAAGAAAAAGAGTTTTTTTTTTTTTAAATGAACATCGGATGGTAAGCTATCAGCTTACTCATGAAATCGCCTTTAAGCCACATATTTTTCAGCAGCTGTCGATTACGTTCACATGCATGATATTCGTTCGAAATGGCTCAGCTTTCGATCTATCGATTTAATCTTATACATTTTTTTCTCATAAAAAAAAGTTTAAATCGTTTGCTTTTGATTTGAGCTATGTAGTTCTGAGATTAACGAAAATACATAATGTAAAGTGAATGTGTGTATAATCAACATTAGTTTCGTATGATTTTCACATAACCGCACCTTGTGTGTGTATTACTTTTTGACAAACTTCCAAGCAAATTCTGATGCAGCAATTTCAAAAGAAATAATTTTGAAACGATTTCCAGTGTTTGTTTTTCGTTTTCAGAGAAAAAGCAAATGTTTCAAAATCAGAATGTTTCTCTGTTGTGCTGCAGAATGGTAATGCAGAAAAATACTTGGCATGCGAATATTGTTTTAGAGCGAATGGATTTGTCATGAAGACTTGCGTGATTTGTTTTTTCTTTTCTATGTCGTGTCGCTTTTGTTTGTGCGTGTATGCTGTGCAGAAAATGCGGGATCTATATATGTGTCTTATATTCGTAAATCGTTCTTCTCGTCGAGCATGAACAAACGAATATAACAACATAAACAACACCAACACACGATCGGCGAATCAACATGGAACGGAAATAAAAAGTCGGGTAAGAGATGAAATTCTTCTTCATTTTTCGTTTTCGTCTCCGACATTTTTTTTTTTCTTCTCTCTCTCTCTCTCTCTCTCTCTCATTCCGATATTTGTCGCTGCTGTCATCTTTGTTTGTGATTTTTCGCCACACACTGCCGCCACAGTCGCATTCACATACATTAACTCTTTGTTTGACTGAGCATGTATTTGTATGAAATTCATCACGAAGAATTGGACATTTGGAATATTTCCTATCACCTGATATTATTATGCGAACTCTTTATTTGTTTTCTTAATAAATGTTATGTCTCCCATGAATAAATATTGTTTACATTGGTTTGCATATTAAAAAGAATAAGCCCGATTGGCAATTACAAGCTTCGACCATTTAGATCAAATAGATGAAATAATCCAACATAATGGGATCTTTATTGACTATTAACAATACAGATAGGTGTTGAAAAAAACTTGACTAAAGATCATAACATAATCATATTTTTTTATAAAAAATACTCATAAGAGTAGAAAAATTTGCGGCTCTCATCAATGTTTTCATTTCTCTGGAGAATCGAGTAGAAAGAACTAAATATTAATATTGTATTCGAAGGAAGCAATGACAGAGATAAATACATTGATAAACATACATTTAAAGTCATTGCAAGATACAACAATATTGATATATTGACGAAAAAATGAAGCGAAATATATTTTTTGTCAAGTAAATATAGATCATAATATATTCTGGATTACAAAAGAATAATTTATAGCAACAAATCATCCTAATAAGGATGCATAAAATTCCAGTTTTGGCGGTGAATAAAATATTATTATTATTATTATTATTATAAAATGTTTTATGTGTATGAATTGGGAAAAAAGGAATAGTAGCTACGGCGAGTCGCTCATACAAAATGTCCAAAAGATTGGTGTGCTGAAAAGCGAATATTTATTGATCCTATCCAATATGTTATGTTGGTATGCAAAGTATTTAATTCAAACGATTAGTTTTGATATAATAAAATCATCGCAATGCAGCCCTTTTTGTTTGATATCAACTTCATTAAATGGATTGATGGTTTATTTTCTTAATTTAAAACAAAATTGAAATAGAATCAACACCAATTTCATTCTACGATAACTTACCTGAATTCATCTAAAGTCTCATTAAGATGATTAATTTAAACTTAAAATGTTCAACAAAACTGCAGCCCTTATACCGAGTGAAAAATTACTGTTCAAAAAGTATTACTTGCGAACAATGGCTAATAAAGAAAAATCATTGACCTCCTTTTTGACAGACTTCGGTCAGAATATTTAAGAGCTTTGAATTGACTTATTCGAGATGACAATCTCGTTATTTCTCTCCGTATTTAACAAACTACACGGCGTGTAATTGCTGTCTCTGATCCATCCGTATGACATTTATGATGAAACTTTAAACAATGTAATGCAGACCAATTTCCATAAATTTAATAAAACGACCCATATTTAAAATAATTTTGATATTTTCATTCCAACATTGATTGTAAATTTGTGTGAATTTGAAGAGTACGACTATTTGAATAAGTGTGATAGAATGTCACAAAAACGAGGGGGAAACCCTAATTTTTTCTTATATTTCTAGTAAAACGCCATATGACATGTACATTTGACATCTTTCTAATATGTTATAGTTTTTCTAGTATCGAGTTCGTGGGTAACCCCAAGCACAAAAAACTGTCTTTAACCAATCTATGTTATAAAATTAAAATAGGTCAAATTAGTCCTTTTTTTGTTTTATAACAACCATTTTTTCGAATTTACTAAATGAATTTCATTCATTGTTCAAAACTGAGTTTGAAATTTTGTTGCCAATAGTATTAGGGATGAAAGAAAAGAATGTAGTTTTACAAGCTATATTGACCTTGTTTGATTACAATGGTTTTGAGCATCAATTTCTTTTAATTTGTTGTAATATTCATCTAATTTTGCTTAAACTATGCACATCTACATTATCAAGACTTCATTTGAAGTGAAATAAAATCTTTTCTTAAAATAGTAATTCCAATTGTATACTCACTTTTGAAATTTGGGATTCCGGTCAACTTGTAAGTAGGACTAATCAGAGCTCAATCTAGACAAAAAAATCACAAATGATATTCAAAAACATATATTTAGTAATTTTATGCTGAAAATTTAAATAATTCTGAAGAAATTTAACAAGACCAATTTTGGTAAATACCGAGTATTAGGAATAATCAAATAAATGTATATAATAACATTGAGTGTCCTATTTCATGAATTAGTGCCCCAAAAAAGTTAAAATTGATATCGATTCAAACAGAGTCGTTAAAGAAACGCAAGAAATGGTAACAACATCGAATTAGTCCTGTATACGTTCATTCATTTCGTTTATAACAATAAGAAGACAAGGGCTTGAAGCAAAAAAAAAAGACATCTGCATCTGTGCGAAGCATTGCGTTAACACAGTAGCATATTGACAACAGAATCATGCATTTCTGAATTCATATGGTGCAATGTGTGTTGGTGAGCTCGAGAATGTGTTTTCAATGGAGCAATAATCGATGCAGTTGTAAATGATACAAAGATCCAATTTCCACAGCATGCAGAAATAAAATGGAATTATAAGCAAAATGGAAAATCATCGACAACAGAATAGCACACAAATACACATATGTTGTTAAACGATGCTCACAGGATCATATAATGCTATTCACACGGGATCTCTATGTGAGAGATTTATACGGCACCAATACAACGAACCCTATTTCATCGTATTTTGTTTTTATTTCGGATCAAAAGTGTGCGCACACATGAAAATATTTACGTATACAAAGCCAAAAACGCATCAGCCGAACCGAAGCAACAGTATCCGTGTTCATATACGCATGGAACGCGCGTTTCGATTACCTAACGATGATTTCTGTTGTGGCAGTCAGTCAACACCATCGCATTTTATACACCATTATCCTCCATGTTAATGCGTTCCTTGTTGAGCACGTTTGTTTTGCATTTCAAGCATATCGTGAACCATCAATTTCAAGGCTATAGCGGTAATAAAATTGCATTACTTTGTATTTTATGACCACTTGAAAAATGTGCTATTTGGTTTTTGTTGCGCTTTTTTTTATCCAAGGACAGAATAAGGATGCTCGAAACATGACATTTCGAGTTAATTAGGATTGATGTGAAATCAAGATCTAATTAAAAACGTAACAATAGGGATCTTAATGTTGTCATGCAAATTGTCCTTGTCATTAACTTACTACTCAAAATTTGTTGGTTTTGTATATGGATACTATAGCAATAAACAAAACATAAATTGGGCAATGGATATACGTCAAATCGAAATCGATAACCAATCGAGTTTTGTATGTGACGAAAATAACATTTCTAGCCTTTCACAAATTCCGATCACATGAGCCAATTTTGTTTTTATAAAGTATCGAGAGAAACCGAAATAATGCCACAACAACAAACAATATCATGGAATATCATTTATGTTAAATTGTCTTTAGAAATATAACTGAATGTTTTCTTGACCCTTAACATTTGACCTATCATTGATGTTGCGATGAAGACATTACCAACATAAGAAAAATGTTCACTTCGATTCAGTCGACATATGCAAAAGTTTTCAATTTCTGCATGACTTTAAAGTTGAATGGGCTAATTTAATCGCAGCAATATTCCACAGTTCACAAAGTGGAATGAAAGTTGTACCGAATACAAAACGAAGAAGAAAAACAAAACGAAAAATGTTGAGAAAAAAAATATGTCTTACCAAGAAAACTGGCACGTTCGACACGTCAAAAAGTGCTTGAGCTCTTCGAACATTCACCACAAAAAGCACATACACACTCTTTACAAGTTAAGCAATATCAACTAGAAACATTTACTTGTCTTTCTAAAGAGCTTGTATGATACAAGTTGTATCTCCAATTCGGATGTTATATTATGAATTCCATGTCCTTATTCAACAAAATTCAATTTTTGTTTGCAAAATAATGCACTTCTTTTTTTAAAAAAAATCCCTTTTTCCCCAAAACCAATGCAACAATAATGAATTTCAGCCGCATCAATATTTGCAGCAAAAAAAAAAAATAGCCAACACTTAAAAAATGTTAGTGAAATGTCAATCTAGTTTATGTCTTCTTCATTTACACCCGAAACCAATTCAACGTCAACATAAGCTACAGACAGTGTGCGCTACGTTCGCACTGAAATTCCGCAATTTTTCTATTCTCTTTCATCGACAAAAAGCCAACGATTTGAAACTTTGTTAAATTGTTTTTTGGTCGATCTCATCCACGAAAAACAAATACATGAAAAAAAATTACATGGAAAACTCACTCGGATCGGAACACACAAAGTTGAAATTATGCAAACAAACAAGTTTTTGCTGTTTTTCTTCTTTTCCCAATGTGTCTTTTCGCACGTACGTTGTTGTGTTTGACTATTTTGTGGTTTATTTTCGGTGATCAATGTTATTTTGTCTTTTACACACCACTCACAATCAAATTCAAACAAATACCATTAAAAAATAGCAAAAATGAAATGATATGAAACTTAAAAAAGGAAAATCGAAAAAAAAAGATTCACACAAACTAAAAAGAAAACTTTTTTTTGATCACTGTGGCCGTCGTAGCCGTTGTCATCAAGTAGAAAAAAAGTATACACTTTTCTAAATAAAATATAAAATGGTTGATAATATGCGCCCGTAGTTGCTGTTATTATTATGTACACATTCACAAAAACGAGACCGTACGTGAGACCGCTACCGTCAGAACGAATGTGTGTGCGTGTGAGTACAGATCAAAAGAGAGAGACAAAGAGCGGCATTGAGAGAGCGAAAGAGAAAGAACAAAAAGAAACTATCAGAAACAGAACAAAGTTTTGCGTTCCCTACAAAGCATCACCAACAAGTCGTATTGCTCACTTTGCGTACATTCATTTTGTTCGGCAGCTTGATGATTTCTCGGGTGCGCTCATTCTCAAAAAATTAACTCATCGTGGTTCATTTTTCATAATAACACACCACACAAATCGTCGATTCTCTCCATACGGCGATGCTACGGTGGATGAACTACATTCATTCCGTTCATTCCTTTTGGCAACTTACACGACTAGGCTCTCTCTTACACGCACACACACACGCAAACATACGCTCTCGTTGGTGCATACATGCATACGCAAAAACGCATTGACAGCAACCGAAGCAGCGCGCTTTATTCTTTCGCACTGTTTATTATAAACGAAGAAGAATAGCAACGCTGCATTTAACGAAACGCTTTTATCCTTACATATTGTAATTTGAATTTTTGAAAGAAAATTGGTAATTTGGTTGTTGCCATTGATACAGGCGGTTCGGCTACCGATGATCATGCATGATTTTCGCTTTTTCTAGGTTGAAAACAGCACTGAAAATTATAATTACATTTTTTTTGCTGAACAAAAAACTTTACAACTGCTTTAACAAATTTTAATTAAACAGGTCGAAATTGGATCTGTTTTTGAATGTCATTCATACCGGCTACCATCGAATATGTGTGTCTACTAATGTATGCTAGGCAATACCAATATATACATATATATGAGAGTCACTCATGCGGATACACACGCATACAACGAAAATCGTTAGCGTACGCCATGAGAACTGTCAAACATGAATGGTAGCTTTATATGGTCTGTTTCTCCCGTCTCTTGTCGTCTATATTCTCACAATAACGTCGAACAGTAATTTGTTGAAGTGACAGCAGCGACAGTAGTATTGAAAAAATGGCGTTTCTTGTACGAAATACACATCGCACGTTTTCCGCGATTTTCAAGAAAACTCTAGCAAGTTCAACGACACAATTTTCCGCTTATAATGGCATCGATTTAACGGTAGGTCAAATAATTAAATAGATAAAATACCATACACTTTGTGATAGAAAGTGACAATCAAATTAAAAAAAATATTGCCGATATGAATGACATATCAAATTGTTTTGATTCCATAGAGACTAGCATGTTGTTCAAAATGTCAAAACTATCAATTGTTTTTGGTTATGAGTTGAAATACATTTTTTGAATATTTTTTATGCTACAACATTAATTGATATTTTTTCGAGATCATTTTCATTATAATTGAATGAATTTGAAAAACCTTATTAATGTGAATGAGATCGAGTAGTAAAATATGTTTTCTATTTTTTTAATTTTCAGGCTCGTACCTTGCACATCTCACACAATCGATTGGGCGAAAATCCAAGACTCACAGCAACTGAAGATGTTGATTTAAATGCCCAGCCATTGATAGAAGTGTTGAAAAATCCACCAGAATGGAAGTACGTTGAACAAATCTTGCCGAAACTGACCGTACCAAGTGTAACACCGAAAGCAGAATATCCATCGGGATGGGTGCCACAACATCCAGATGGACATAGCCATCCATATTTTGTTCGGCGTAACAGAAATCATATGGTACCGGTTTATTTGAGTATTGATCGTCGTGGTACATGGCGAAAAACCTATGTAAAATTCATCAGCGGCGATATTTGGAAACTGCATAAAGATCTAATGGATTATATTGAATATTATATGTGCAAAAAAGAGAGATCACGAGTCAATGAATTTACAAGGCAAATCATTATAAATGGAGACTATGTGAATTTAATCAAAGATTATTTAATTCAAAAAGGTTTTTAGCCAATTTGTAATCATATTCAATACTTTTAGATTCTAAACCAATAAACTTGTTTCATTTAAATCAAATACACATAATTTTTTCTCCTATTGCTTTATTCGTTACATTTCAAAATAAAATATCGATGTGTTTCGCATGTGAATGAATTTCTATTCGTAAACTATATGTTATTTACAAATGATGATTTGAACGGATTTCAATCACTGAAAAAAATTCAAATGACAGTTTTTGTTGTAAAATTATTTTCCAATGAAAACACACATGCAATTATTCATTCACACTCGAACGAAAAAAAAACCCATACAAGCCAAAAACCACGGGACCTGAATTAAGTTTTTTAAACACCCAACATTCTTAAAGCACATTCAACCATTTCGCTATCACTTACTTTAAATGTGAATTCAGTTCGGGAAAATTACAAACGATTTCTTATGATTTACTTTTTGTTTTTTACTAAAAAAATGGCTTAAACATTCGTGCATTTGTGTGTTAATTGTTTGAGTTTCAAGATGATGTTGGCGGTGATGATTTTTTCATTCCTTTTCGAATGAGACGCCAATCGTCAAGGATTTGTTCTTCGGATAACATATAAACAATGTATGGCCCAGAGACGGTGACGGCTTTTTTTCTACCAGGACCGCGCACTTTGCTTGTACGTGTACTTGTTGACCAATCAGCCCATGAAATATCAACATTATGTCGATCTTCTTCTAATCTTCGGATTTTCTCCATCAATTCTTCATAAATGGCATCTTTCGACAATTCTTTTTCACTCTACGAATAATAATAATGTAATCAATTAAATAGATTGTGAAAATGGTTAGAAATTTTGAATATTTTACCTCGAAATGTTGTTTGGCAGCTTGTTCTTCGGCAAGAAATTTATGATTAGCATTTTCAAGCCGTAACTTTTTTAGTACTCCCGCCACTTCAATTCGATTTTGCATATGATCTGTTAGCTGCTTCAATGGCTCCAAATATTCCTGAGATCGTCCACTTCGCACATCATTTAAATGTAAATCATTTTGTTTGATACGTTCCTGAAATAATTGCTCGCGCAAAGTGTAAAACTGTTGTTCCAAATCAGCTGTGTACAAAAACAAAAGTAAATCACAAACATCAGTATTAAATAAAATGCGAAATGATGCTATTTTTGATCGAAGTTCTTACTCATATACTTGACGAAAGTGGCGGTCCGACGTTCGCATTCGTGTTCATCGAGCTCGGATGAATCGGAATCTGGTTCTTCAGCTTCGCTAGAATCAGCTTTTGCATCACGGCTTGAATTTGAGTGTTGTGATTCATTTTCGGACATATCACCATCACCGTCACTCTCATTTTCATTGTGTAACGAAGGCATTTTATTTTATCGATTCCAACTTATTGTCTTCGTAAATTTCACAAACTGATTTTTAACACAAGCAAAAAATGAAAATTTATGGCAGTTTTTTGCTATTTAAATTTGATTTTTTCTTCTTCGCTTGTGCTAACCAAGTGAGACTTGTTTGCTATTTAGCGTAAACTTAATGACGTTTCGAATGACATTAACAGCCAAAGCAACTGAGAGACTGAATGTGTCTGTGTGCGTGTGTGAGTGAACGCAAGTGTCAATTTTGTGTTATGTGTATTTGTGCCGTTGTTTTGCATACATAAAAACTGAATAACATGCTGACGTACGATATTTGCGCTAAGTTGTGAAATAAATATGGCATTCATATTTTGTCTGAATTTTGCTCATTAATTGCGTTTTAATGTTCATGGTAGACAGCTTATGTTAGCCTTTTTCAATGGGTGTATGTGTGCGTGTACCACTTGTAGCCAACTTCAGTTTTGTTGTCAAATCAAATTTTATTCCGTCTTTTTGTCCCATTCTTGCTCATGCCATTCTGTTTTGTTAGTTAATTCACACGTCTTTTACATTCAAAAGTCATACTCCTTCAGTGTCATGTATTGTGAAGAGAGTTTTGTGTAAAAAAGAAAATCCGAATAAAAATGCGCTTCAAGTTAAAATAGAATTGAACCGTGTATCCGTGTTTAATTTGCACAAAATCGTAAAATTTCTTTTAGTTCTAGCTTCACCATTTTCAAATTCATACGAAATTCTTAGATAAATTGTTTCAATTTCCTTAAAAAAATATGTTACAAAAATACTTAGTATTTACAAATTACACAAATCGGATGGCCATGCTCCGATGTTATCGAGATTTTGATAAGCTCGTTACAAGGAATTCACTCACCAAATACCAATCGACTTTATTCAATCAAAGTAGACGATATCAAAGCGTTTATTTAGCCACCCGAATTGAATCACATTTGAATTCACGATGTATTAATTTATCAAAATTGCGTGGTTTAATCGGCCGACGAAATTTGTGTACAAAACCAACGAAAAAAAGTGATCACAACTGGTCATTGATACGAAAACAACATCGAGAATCAAAACAAGAGATAAAACGACTGTTTTCGATGGCCAAAAATGAAAAATGGTATCTAATTGCGGGAGTTGCTTGTTTGATTGTGTCGTCAGCGGTTACCTTAGGTGTTCCACGGGCCATTGGCAAGCTCATGGACATGATTGTTATGGATGAATTTCCAAAAGAGAAACTACACACATTTTGTGTCGTATTGTTCGGAATATTTGTTGTGGGTGGTTTAGCCAATTTCGGTCGAATTTATCTAATGAACAATGCAAGTAAGTTCGTGGAAACGGCAACAGCAACAACAAATCTTTTATCATTTATTTGCTTTTTTTAGCTCTTCGAATTGTAAAAGATTTGCGATCGCGTGTGTATCGCACAATGTTGAATCAAGAGCCGGGCTGGTATGATACAAAAGGCACAGGAGAACTTATAAATCGGCTATCAAATGACACAACACTTGTCGGCAACTCCCTCAGTCAAAATCTATCGGATGGCCTGAGATCAATCATAACAATAGCGGCAGGAACATCTATGATGGTTTATACATCCCCTCAATTGTCACTTGTTGCCGTGTGTGTTGTCCCGTTTATCGGTGGCCTGGCCATTCTTTTCGGGACGTATGTCAAGAACATCACAAAATTATTGCTCGACAAATTGGCTGAAGTGATGAAAATCGGAGAGGAACGATTGAACAATGTAAAAACAGTGAAAATGTTTTGCAAAGAAGATCTAGAAAATCGTTTGTTCACAAAAGAGTTGGTGAACGCTTTGGACCTAGGATACAAAGATATTTTTGCCAGAGCCTCATTTTATGGAATAGCCGGTTTATCAGGCAACATAATTATCATTTCGGTGATCTACTACGGGGGGTCCCTGGTGGCGTCAAACGCATTGACTATCGGAGATTTAACATCGTTTGTATTCTACGCTGGCTATACGGGGATGGCAATGACAGGACTCACGAAATTTTATACGGAACTCAATAAAGGCGTCGGAGCGGCCACACGAATTTGGGAAATTTTCGACAGACAAATTGCAATACCAGTTGATACCGGCATCATACCAAAAGAACCGCTAAAAGGCAAGTTTATTCAATTAACTAGTAATAAATTGAATTAAATAACATTTTATTCGCTCATTCTAGGTTCAATTCAATTGAAAGACGTTTGTTTCACATTTCCGGCTCGACCGAATGTAACAATATTGAAAGATGTGAATTTGAACATTGAATCAAACACAGTGACTGCCATTGTGGGAAGAAGTGGCAGTGGAAAGTCTACCATTGCATCACTTTTGGTACGTTTTTATGATCCACAATCGGGCGGTGTTTATATTGACGGTGTTGATATAAAACAATTGAATTTAAAATGGCTTCGAAATCACATAGCAGCTGTTAGTCAAGAACCAATTTTGTTCAGTGGTACTATTCGTGATAATATTTTGTACGGTTTGAAGTCGGATGATAACGAGAATTTAGCTAACGAATACTTCGATCGCGTCGTTAAACAAAGCTATGTCGATGATTTCGTAAAAACACTTCCAGACGGCTATAATACACTTGTCGGTCAAAGAGGTTTAACTTTATCGGGTGGACAGCGCCAGCGAGTGGCCATAGCAAGGGCCTTGATTAGGGTAATTATCATTATTGCAGGCATTTCTCGTACCTTTGCATTCCAATTGAATCCATACCTTTTTTTTCGTTATTTTAGAATCCAAAAATTTTGATACTTGACGAAGCGACAAGTGCACTTGATAGCGTTTCAGAGGCAGCAATTCACAAATCACTACAAACCATTTCCCAAGATCGAACGGTATTAACGATAGCCCACCGTCTTAGTACAATACGCAATGCACAAAAAATTATTGTTGTCGGCGATGCAAAAATCCTTGAACAGGGATCATACGACGAATTAATGGCAGACAGCAAAAGCATTTTCCGAGATTTGGTGAAACAGCAAACATTTGAAACAGCACCATCTAGCCATATCTTTTTAACTGAGTAAACGAATTTCGCAGAGGAAAACTATGTTTTCAAAAAAATGGAATTGTGTTTTTTTATAAAATGAAAAAGCTATTTTATTCGGGGTTGTTGAATATATTGATTATTATTTGTTAAAATTGAAGATGTTTTAGTGTAATTCCAAAGTTATAAACTTTTCGGAAGGACAAGTTAAAATAAAACTACCATTGAAAGCTACACATAAGGACTTTTTCTTTTAAATTATTGTTCATTATAATCCTTGTCGCAAGATCTTGGTTGTTGGTTCTCGTATGGTACACCAACATCCAAAGATTGAAAATTTTTATGTGTCAATATAACACCCTTCGGCAGTCTCGACGTAACCGAAGAATAAGGCAACAGTGCTTTATAAAAAAATCATCAAATGCAACGTTTTTATTCAATTCAGACGTTTCAGATAGAATGAGACCCAAAGACAAAATAAATAATAAATCTCCTACACCAAGATGTAATAATTATCATTGTTTACCATTTGTATTCATTAATTCATCTATATTTAAAGTGGCTGCATTGTATTTTACTACAATAATCTTTATGTTCGTCAAAAAATTAAATCTTTCCCATTAAGTTTATATTCGTAAACAAAAAATTTCGTACTTTATCATTATCTCTTTGAAAAAAATTATTAATGAAATTTGCATCATAGTCTACGCGTCGATTTCTTTCTCCCTTGTCAATTTTCTAATTATCAAAACTTGATTAACGTATCAATGCGTTGACCATTGCCTTGGTACATTCGGAACATATAGAGCAATATATGATTCTGTTGTAAATTCAAATGTTTTCTTTCGAAAATCGTAATTCAAAAAATTGTAATTCAAACATTCTTGTCAAGAACGTTCAGTGATTGAAATCGCTTGAGTAGCCATTAAGCACATCTTTTCTTAATGGTTGACTTTAACAATTCACTGCGAAACATATTTATGTGGTGATAAAAATAAATAGAAAACACAAGTGAACTGATTCGCTGATTGGATGATAAAACAAATAAACAAGAATATGACAAATATCTATAAAATTTTATGCCAAAGAATTTCGCCAAAAAAAAAACTGTGTATACGATTTGAAACGAAAAGTGTCATAGTATTCTTGATGCTCACACTTCATATCTCATCATTACCTCAAATAAAATAAATTGTAATAAAGTGTTGCTTCAAGTATTTTTTTAAATAATGGTTTCAAGTTCAATGTTAAAAAAATTGTAAAAAGGTAAAAATGAATTGAAAATATTATATTTTTAAGAATAATTTGCGAATTTCACGGCGTAGAATTTTGCCAGTTGGACTTTTTGGAATACTATCTACGAATTGAACACCACCCGTCAACCGCTTATATTTGATCACCTGCTTCTCTACAAATTCTTGAACATCTTGTTCAGTTATTTTTGATTCAGGTCGTCGTACGACAAATGCCTTTGGTACTTCGCCACATTTGGGATCTGGAACTCCAATTACTACCGCGTCTAGTATATCAGGATTTTCGCGTATGATTCCCTCAAGCTCAGCTGGCGCAACTTGATTTGCATTGACTTTAATCAATTCCTTCAAACGATCACTGATATAAAATAGCCCATCCTCATTATAGTACCCAATATCACCAGTACGAAGCCATTTATCTTCGGTAATCATTGCTTTGGTTGCTTCCTCATTTTGAAAGTAGCCCTTCATGACGTTTGGACCGCGTACAAGTAGTTCGCCGGTTTCATTTGCGGCCAAACCCTTGAAACTTGGATCATCTACGCCGGCAATTTTCATTTCAACATTCGAAACTGGCCAACCCACAGTTCCGTAATTTGTAAGTCCTTGAGGTGTTAACGTTGCTAGCGGCGATGTCTCTGTCAAATAGAAATGCTCCATTTGAATTTTATCTCATAAATCAAATAATACATTTTATCAGTTAAACATGTGTTTTTTGTTTGAATTTTGATTTTTGAAGCATTTGCATTTGAACATTAAACATTTATACTGACCTGACAAGCCATACCCTTGAAAGAATGAAGCATTTTGAGCTCTGAAATATTATTGGTTTTTTTTATTAGTCCAAATGATTCGTTTCTCGGAATGATTTAATAATGTCGTCTCTTGTACAGACGGTCGTCTGGTGTCATTACAATTTTTCATACATACAGTTTTTTAAAGCGATCAGCATCAGTTTGAGCCAGATTCGAAGCAGCACTCATTACTAAACGCGCATATTTGAAGTGATTTGGTTTGGCGCCTTCGTAATTAGCCAACTGAATTATTACTGGTGGCACTAAATGTAAAAGTGTCGCTTTATGATGCTTTATAATTCGTAAAAATTCATTTATTTCGTATTTTGGCATTGAAATAATTTTTGTGCCCAGTGATAGCTTCGAAAGCAGTATGATAATCAGACCATAGAGATGATAGAATGGCAAAAAGACAGGCACAATCTCCTGGAAATCGTTAGTTGTGGCATGAACAATTTGTGTATATGGAAGTCTTACATCCATAGCCTCACAATTCGATACTATATTATTATGCGTCAACATAACACCTTTTGGCATCCCCGTCGTACCAGAAGAATATGGAAGCAATGCGATATCATCGCATCCAGTGTCTTTATTGAATTTTGTGGCATCGGACAAATTAAGACCTGAAATTTAAAAGTTTATAGGTATTAATAGAGCATTGAAAAATGTGCTACTTCATTGAATCATACAGATTTGCTTCTTCTGGTAAAAAAAGCAATGAGATTTGCATGCGATGAAATAAATATCATGTTTCTAAATAGCAATCACATACACATAAATTCAAATTCACATGGACAATAATGTCACAAAAGAAATGAGAAACTTGATGTCAAGATCCAAATACAAAAGCAGTATAAAACACCGTATAGTGTGCCAGTAAATAGCTAATGTTTCTTCTTTGCGAAAAGGTTGATATTCTCGCTGTTACTACGTTACAAATCATCATGTTATACTACTGTATTATTTATTTCCATTTTCTTTTGAATACGTCTTTCTCAAGGTCATAGAACTAGAAATGTGTCAGTTTGTTGGTCGATTTCACAAACTACATTAGAGTTTGTAAGTGCGTGAATGTTGCTATAATGCGAACAGCTACTTTGACAATTTTTGGAAAATTATAAATTTGAATTGTTTTCAAGCGATGAATGAAGTAATAAACGAAATTTTATTTTGTTGTTTTTTCCATTGAAAACATAATGTTTGCTTACCTTTTGGATTTATCAATTCGGTAAAGTTAATCATATCATCTCGAAATGAATGATTTAACTCACTTTTAATTGCAATCACTTTAATATCAGGTTGTTGTGCGAGAGCACAAGCTTTTTTCACCACATCAAAATTATCGACTAGGCAAAAAATAGCTTTTGGACGGCTACTTATCAATTGACGTGAGATTTCTTCGCTTGTATACCATGGATTGACTGTTGTTACGATTAAGCTAGCCTCAGCTGCTCCCATCAAGGCAATTAAATACTCTGTTTGCAAAACCAATATTTGGAGGTTAAGAAAAATAAATGCTTGACAAAAATATTAACAAATCAAACGTTACCTGGTACATTTGGGAGGCAAATGCAAACGATGTCATTTTTTTCCAACTTTAAATTCGTTCTCAATCGAATTGCTAACGCAGCACAATGATCTCTGAGCTTTGCATACGTATATTTGCGTCCAGTAACTCCACATTGAATTGCAATGTGATTTTGCCATTTTGGCATATTTTTCCAAAAATATTGATCGATGGTCATATCCGGAATGGAAATTTGTTCGTACGGCGATTTTATTATGTATCCATCTTTTTCGGTATAAATCATATTTTTCTTTGCCAACTCACTTAATGGAACTCTTTTTTCTGTCAACGCATCGGTTGACAGAAATCGCCCCAAAATCAACCGTGCACCACTTTTCATATGCACTGACTTTAATACTGTTCGGCTATACATTTTCGACTAAATCAACGCTGTTGTTGTTATTTATCTTCAAGTATTTCTTTTATTTCAAATGCACTATCCGGTTACAATTTTTCAACTGAACGCAATGTGTACGAAAAATAATATCACTGCCTCTACGGGAAGTGCGATAACTTATTTTTAAAGCACACAAAAACGATACAGAATGTAAATACGTTGAATAATCTCTAAATAAACGACGATAAGACAGTTTTTGAATTGATATGTTTATCTTTTCAAATTGCACAGAGTATTAAATACAATGTTTTTCGTCTAGCGTCCGTAATTGTCTGTCACTTTATGCATTATGTTTCACTATTGGTGCAATATATATACAAAAACGAGGGGCGGATCACTATTTGAACGAGCACATTTTTTTCGACAAATAAAGTATGATTTAAAATCAATGCTGAAATTTCCTTATCTACCCATATAACTCATTTGCGGAGTAATTTTATCGATGACGGGACTGTGCGGAGTTCAGCGGAGATAGCATGCAAATGCTGTGTGTACGAGTGCAACAGCGTTCTTTGCTGTTCATAGATTTATTTTGTCCAATCGTACATCTTAGTAGCCGTACACACAGCTAAGTTACTAATAATCTGCGTAAGAATGATACACATAGAAGTGCTGTTACCCTCGTACACACAGAGTTTGTATGTCATCTCCGCCAAACTCCACACAGTCCCGCCACCGTCAAAATTACTCCGCAAATGAATTATATGGGTACTTATCTGTCTCTTTGACTAAATCCAATCGTTCAATTATCGTAAGGCTATGGAGGTCAAATTAATCTGACAGTTATCTTCAGTCTAGCAAGATGTGTCAGTGCGTTGTCTTTGCATGTACCGATTTGCAAAAAGATTTCCGAAGCATATATATGCGTTTTTGTAAATGCAGATGTTTTCATGCCATTTTTAACGCTACTTTTTTTTCTCTTATCGAATAACATTATCTTGTCCGATTAAGTTGGCTTGGTGAAAATATTGAAAAAAATTGATATATTTAGACTGTTATCAAATCTGCTCATTTCAACTTCAAAATGAAGCTGAAATAGTAAACCCCTAATAATTTTGAAGTGCATTAAAATGATATTCAATAATAACGCAACGTTTTTTTCTGCTCATTTAAACTTTGATATTTTATACATGGAAAACTGTACTAAACTTAATATTCACACAAGGCACAACCTCAAACAACAATAGCATACATTGAAGTGACACTTAAAAAATTATTGTATATAAAAAATTAATATGAAATTATTATTCGACCTCACTCTCTACGTGCAGTCGATAATTCTACAGCGGTCAATCGATTTCGAAAAAATCACAATTTCTAAATATCAGAGCATCTTGATTTGTTGCTGCTCAGCATATAGCTGAGAGCTGAGAAATGCTGAACTCGTGCGGCTAACGCAAACGAAACGGATGGCACGCACACATGCATTCTCCCCGTTTAAACGGTTATAAACAGTTGATTGGATTTTCAATTCAAAACTCAAAACTTAGTAACCAGTTGAGTTTGAAATTGTGTTGCGACCGACATATGAGAAGCTGCGAGAAAAACATCACGTCGCATCCCTCGTTATTTTGCTTACGTAAGTGAAAGCAAGAGATGAGATGCGACGTGCTGTTTTTGCTCTCAGTCTTTCATATATTCTGAAAGTGTACGTCTAACGCATACGAAACGGATGCACGATACATATTCCCCTTTCACTTCGTATGTTCGCTGGTATAGTGTGTTACCGTTGTACTGGCAATAGCGTCAACGGCAGCACATACGAAGCGAAAGGGGAATATGTATCGTGCATCCGTTTCATATGCGTTAGCCGCACGAGCTCAGCATTTCTCAGCTCTCAGTAATATGCTGAGCAGCAGCAAATCAGGATACTCTGCTAAATATATATCTTTTGATTTCATATTACAGCCGTAGTCAATAATTTCAGATGAGTATTTTTGTAAATAGATATGTGTCTTTGGACGTTGTTGACAGCGAAAAATGGAACAATCGCATTTTTCTGAAAACAATTTCGAATGAACACAAAACAGTTTATAATTATTTATTTAATGTTTCGATGCACGATGATCAACAAATATGCTTAAAACTTTACCGATAAGATGGGATAGATGGTAGAGTAGCAGATAACATTGTTTCCTTTTGCATACAATGTTAAACATTGTGATAGTTTTCCATTACTACAAGTTGTATATGATTATGATATTTATGTCAATTATTGACAATTTGATAGCATGTCGTTATATGACGTGGCCTTGTTCGAAGTACAATAATATACAGTAGATTTATTAAATTCGATTGCTTCGGTCATTTTGTAGTGGATTCGATATATACATATATGAATCGTTTTGGAAAAAACTTTTACTTATTTCGTTGTATTAGCAAAGAACAAAGCCAACATTCAGTTCAGGTCGAGTTTTTCAATCATATTCGAATCCCATGAAGTGTTTTTGATGGTTCAAAACCAAACCAAATCTGTCAAATAAATTAAACTAGTATATATTTCACTTACTCAAAAATACTTTATTACTTAACAAAAAAAATAACCATTAAATGTGGAGACGTAAAATAATCAAAATGACTGTATTTTTTATAAAAAGATTTTTCGAATTTCACGGCGTAGAATTTTGCCAGTTGGACTTTTTGGAATGCTATCTACGAACTGTACACCACCCGTCAACCGCTTATATTTGATCACCTGCTTCGCTACAAATTCTTGGATATCTTGTTCAGTGATTTTTGATTCAGGTCGTCGTACGACGAATGCCTTTGGTACTTCACCGCATTTCGAATTCGGAACCCCAATAACAGCTGCGTCTAGTATATCAGGATTTTCGCGTATGATTCCCTCAAGCTCAGCTGGCGCAACTTGATTTGCATTGACTTTAATCAATTCCTTCAAACGATCACTGATATAAAATAGCCCATCCTCATTATAGTACCCAATATCACCAGTCCGAAGCCATTTATCTTCGGTGATCATTGCTTTGGTAGCTTCCTCATTTTGAAAGTAACCTTTCATGACGTTTGGACCGCGTACAAGTAGTTCGCCGGTTTCATTTGCGGCCAAACCCTTGAAATTCGGATCATCTAGGCCCGCAATTTTCATTTCAACATTCGAGGCTGGAAAACCAATCGTGGCACAATTCGAAACGCCCAAAGGAGTTATCGTTGCAATTGGCGATGTTTCTGAAAAATAAAAATTCTCATCATTTTCATCAGTTAGACATTCGGATGTTTTTTTCTTACCTGTCATTCCATATCCTTGAATGAAAGTAACGTTCTTGGCTCTAGAATTTCAGACAATTTGTTTGTTAATAATTCAAAAATAATAATACGTTTAATCAAAGAACCATACATTTTCTTGAGTCGATCAGCATCAGCTTGGGCTAGATTTGAGGCACCACTTACTGTTAGTCGAACGTGTTCAAAGTGCTCGGGCTTAGCTCCTTTGTAATTGCCCAAATGGATTACAACCGGTGGAACTAAATGTAATACGGTCGCCTTATAATCTTTTATAACATTTAGGAACTCGTTCACTTCATATTTGGGCAGTGTAACGATCTTTGTGCCAAGTGCTAGAAAATAAAATATGTTCAAACACATTCATTTAATTTTCCCATAAGTACTTCTCACCTAATTTGGGTGCGAGTATCACCATCGAACCATATATGTGAAAAAATGGTAGAAAACATGGCAAGACATCTTGAAAGTCATTGGTGGTTGGTAAAGTTAATTTTTCATACGGCACACCAACGTCCAAGGATTGACAATTTGCCACCAAATTCCGATGTGTCAACATAACACCCTTTGGCAGTCCCGTCGTACCCGATGAATAAGGCAGTACAACAAAATCATCGCAATCAATGTTTTTATTCAATTCAGACGTTTCAGATAGAACGAGACCTATAGAGACAGTAAAATAAACATTAAATAATCAGTCAGTCTCCTACATGAAGTTGTAATAATTATCATTGTTTACCATTTGGATTCATTAACTCATCGATATTAATTGCATCGTCTGGAATCGAAGCGGCTGCATTGTGTTTGACAACAATAATCTTTGTGTTCGGCTGTTGAGCAAGTGCACAAGCTTTTTTAACCACTTCATAGTTATCAACTTGACAAAACACGACCTTCGGCTGACAACTTATAAACTGACGTGATATTTCTTCGCTTGTATACCATGGATTTACCTAAGGGAAGAATCACAAAAGAAAAGAAATAATTTAAAGTAATCGACAAATAATCGTAAAACAATCAATAATAATTAATAAGCAATTTTTTTGCACTATGGATTTACCGTTGTCACGATTAGGCCGCCTTCAATCGATCCCAGAAACGCAACGGCGTACTCTGTATGAGACAAAAAAATACCATCACTTTAAACTTAAATAGATGGATGATGTATTCTCCAATTGGCCTTGGAAAAAGAAGTGAAGCGTTGAATCAACAAACATAACCGGATATTATATAACAAACTTATCCATATACTTGCAAACCAAACCAATGTTCGTGCATAAAGAAGCTCAAGAACATCAAGTAAATCTATCTTGTGTATTACACATAAATTTAAACATTTCGTTTGGATGTAAAATTTTATCGGTGAAGTGATAAAAATAAAGCAGACAATATATTGGGCTGAATATTCATTTGAAATGAAAAGAAATAGCACGCTATTTTTGATAAGACAATAGAAGTGATTGTTATAATTATTGTACCAACGTAAGTGTTTTATAACCACAACAATCACTTCTATTGTTTTATCAAAAATAGCGTGCTATTTCGTTTCATTTCAAATGAATATTCAGCCTAATATATTGTCTGAAATAAAGCACATCTTTGCAAAAAAAAAAACTATGAAAAATTGTGAACGACGGGGTTGAATAGTTAAAATTGTGCTAATTTAGATTTTTCTCGATTATCGATTTTGGAGCAGCATTAAAAATTATATTCACAATTACCTGGTACATTCGGAAGACAAATGGCAACTATATCTTTTTGTTGTAAATTCAAATGTTTTCTTAATCGAATGGCCGATGCGGCGCAATGATCTCTGAGTTTGGCATACGTGTAATTACGACCAGTAACACCACATTCAATTGCGATACGATTTGGCCATTTTGGCATATCTTTCCATACGTATTGATCGATTGTCATTTCAGGAATCGAAACCGCACCATACGGAGATTTCATCACAAAACCTTCTTTTTCATCGTAAAGCAAACTTTTCTTGCCCAGATCGCTCAGTGAAGTTCTTTCTATCGATTGGAATCGCCTGAGCGATTGAACACCATTTCTCTTAATGATCGACTTTAGCAATGCACTGCGAATCATTTTTAATTTTTTTATAAACTCTATGAACACTTTTAATTTATATTTGTTTTATTGAACGTAAAGAATAAATGTTGAAAAGAACAAAAAACACACAAAAACTCTTTCCCGTGCCAAGTTTGAATCAGAACTGAATGACAAAATATTCAATCAGCATACTACACTTTGATTTCGTTGGGCTAGACGATATGATTGGATCCGAAAATTGTCATCGTTTATGTATCAATTATATGTATATGGTTTAAAAAAATGTGTCGTGTAAAAATAAATTAAAATTGATGTAAATTATATATTTCAAACATTGCAATTTGTTTTGTTTAGTTTAGCAGAACGTTTTTTATCTTTATTCTCGATTCACGACTCAACAACAAATATGATAGACTGTTCTCAAGTGAACTGACTACGCAGAAAAATATTCACACTGAAAAAGATACGTTCGCATGTCTATGTGGGCTTTATATGTAATACAATGCTGTTACGAATGTGTATGTTCGCTTGCTCATTTACTCGCAAAGAAAGCAAACTCATTATATATATATACACCAAGTCATCTAAGTGTTGTGCGGTGCGGTGAACAGCGATAAATAAAAACAAAATCAAATTGGAGTTGAATGATACGCATTTTTTATTCTGTAGAAACTGTAATAGATTTCAGTGTACATTTTTTTGAATAATGAAGACATACCATATCATATAATGATCCGAAATGTTAGTAATTTAAACCAATAATTTATTTAAAAAAAATCAACATCATCAGTCGGTAGCATGAATATTTTAGTTTGGTGCTATTCGAATTTTACCAACTGAAATTTGTGTGAATTTGAACCATTACAGTATCTGGCACACTTAATAATCAAATTGAAACATTGTCGTATTTTTTAGAAGCAAAATTTATAAGCGGTCATAAAGCTAAAGTAATAAATTTCACAATGATGCATATGAACAGTTTCTTGCAATGATGTTTATGAATAATGTATCCGAAATACGACGGTCAATGGTCATTTCTGTTGCATTATCGATTCCAAAGCCCATTTATAACAATGAAACTATCTTTCACCCTGTGAGCCAACTGATACATGGATTTCTGCGACGTGAAACTGCACGCAAGAACTTCTCATACATAGAATTCCATTTAACCGCTTGAAGCATTTTGAGAGTTTGACCAATACTTGAAACTAAAATTCAAGACAACGATAATATTCCATTTGAAGACGGATTCACACCAACTGAAATTTGTGGTGTGTAAAACTTGATGTACGGAGCTTAAGTGACATGGAATAAAAATGCATAATTCAAAATGAAAATACACTGACAATATTTAATTTAGAGACAAAAACTCTGGCTTTGAAACCATTAAAACGATTTTCTGCACGAAATCACATTATTAAGTTTTGTAAAAGTGTGTGAGCGAACGTGAATTCCAATGAATGTTGCATAAAACAGTAGGATTTCGGAGAAATAAAGTTGGTGCAGAAAATATTTTAATGTAAAGGCGATTACCCAGAAACTATATGAAAACAGGGAACAAGTGCTGAAGACCAAAGTACAGAACTAATACAAAACAAGCTTAGCAAAATAATTAAACTTCCTTAAGACTTAAGAGTGTTTTTTTTTCATTTATTTTTTTCCACTTGGTTTAATTGAACAACAAACAAAAGTATGAATTGTCAATTAAGTAAATTGTAAAAATTCAAAATCGTGATTTAAAATTCGTTTCTATTCAAATATGTTTAGTATATTCATATAAATGTAAATGAGCTAGTGTGTTTTGGTGCATTCAAAGTTAACATTAATTTCAAATGTAATGTGTCAATTCACTTCAAACTCAAGAGCTCGTTTAACTCAGCAATAATCTATATAATTATTTTTAAAATCTTATTTCATAATCTCCAACGTTAGATATTGTTATTATTTCATTTCATGTATAAATATTCACCTTTATATAAAGTCTAAAAATATATGAAAATTCGGACCGAAGTTATAAACATCACATAAAATAAATGAATATGCTTGCTTGTTTGTTAAATTCTTCCAATAAGTAAACAAATTATTATCAACTCTTTGTTTATGCTTTGTATATATATATATGTTATAGCTAAACACCAATGGAATCGTTGATTAATTCAATCAAATTTAAAATGAAAGTTATTGACAATACTTCAATTTGAGTTCACGTCGCATAATTTTGCCGGTCGCATTTTTCGGAATGGTTTCCAAAAATTGTACACCACCTTCGAGCCGTTTGAATTCAGACACTTTTTGTGCAACAAATTGTTTGATATCCTGTTCGGAAGTTTGACTTTCAGGTCGTTTTATTACAAAAGCACGCGGTGCTTCGCCAGTTTTTTCATGTGTAACACCAACCACAGCAGCATCAGTGATATCAGGATGACTTCTAAGAATTTCCTCCAACTCCGCTGGAGCAACTTGGAATCCTTTAACTTTGATTAGTTCTTTGAGACGGTCGGTAATGTAGAAGAAACCATCATTGTCATAGTGGGCGATGTCACCAGTTCGAATCCATCCATCAAACAAAATTTCGTTTGTCGCTTCAGCATTATTCAAATAGCCAAGCATATTTTGTGGCCCTTTAACCCACAATTCCCCGGTTTCATTTGGTCCTAGACCAACACCGGTTGAATCATTCGTTGCGACGATTTTGCAACGTGTAGCGCTAGCCGGATGGCCCACAGAGGCATATTTTTGATTTCCCGGCATATTAAAACATGCCACCGGGCTTGTCTCTGTCAGGCCATAGCCTTGTACAATATTTGTATTTGGCGCTCTGAAATAAAATCAAAATGTTAATCCAAACATTTAGACACTCACATTTTCAAAAGAAATATACTTTTTGTAGAATCGTTCAACATCCAGAGCTCCTAGGGGTGCAGCACCAGACATAACCGATCGAACGGATTCCAAATCTTTTGCATTTACTCCATTGTGTTGTCCCAAGTAAATCACTATAAAATATTTCGGAAATAATGTCGAATATTGATTAACTTTATATAAGTCGTGAAAGAAGGCGAATGTGTTTTACATACTAATTGGCGGTACAATGTGCAAAAGGGTAGCTTTGTGATCTCTAACCGAGTCCAAGAATGTATTCGGTTTAAATTCGGGTAATGTGACAATTTTGGCGCCAAGTGCAAGCTTTGAAATCAGCGTCACCGTAAAACCGTAAATGTGAAAGAATGGCAATACACATGTTGCTACATCTTGATTCTCATTCGTTGTGGGTAAAATCAGAGGCCCGTCACCAATTTTAACGCCAATTTGTTCACAATTCACTCCAATATTATTATGGCTAAGCATAACGCCTTTTGGCAAACCAGTCGTACCGGATGAGAACGGTAGAAATGCCATATCATCGGGATGTCTTTTATGCGGACGCAATAAACCAAAATCGATATCTGCAATTAAAGGAAATATTTTATTCAATTAATCAGTCTAAGAATTGTTGATTTGCAAATTCAAAGTGCCTACTATTTGTTTCAATTAAGTCAGCAAAGTTGATTGCACCACTTGGAATCGATTCGTTTTCATCGGTTTTAATGCAAATAATTTTGATGTCCTTCTTTGCATTTTGAATGGCTTCTTTGATTGTCGCATATGTTCTTGGCGTTCCGATGATTGCTTTTGCATTACTTGCTTCCACTTGACGTTGAATCTCGCCTGTGAACAAAAAAAAGCATTTCGTTAAAATATTTCGATTGAATATAGATTGATGATGGTTTTAATTAAATTCAAAAAATGTTCTTTCCGATGGAAAATTATTCAAAATGTAAAATAGTAATCAATCAAATTACATAGATGTATTGAATGCAAATGTCAGGACCAATGACTTGATTTATTCAATTGATTCAGTTAACGTCAATTCCCGTTTATGTGCGTTCATTTGCGAAGAACATTCAAATAATTTTCCATTTGCACGATTTTATCGATTTTCATGGAGTGTAAAATTCGCGGTTTATGAATTGTGTAACTTTTGTGCACAATGATTACAATTGTTAGCCGAAAATCTAAATGGAAAGTGACAATGCATGTTTCCGACGTACGAGCTCAAATGTTAAATATTTTGTAATTTTTCATCACCATGACTTTCAATCGGTTTTGATGATGTTGAAATCTCCTATATTATGCTCCATTTGCACATATTTGTCAATCGATACACTTTAACACGAATTTGTTTGAATATGATTCAATTGAAAATGCAAATTGATTCACATACACACATATAGAATGATTTTCTTTATATCAACAATGATTCAAATTCTGCGCTATAGAGCTAAATTGTGGAAGCAAAACACGTTTTTTTTGTCTTCTTCAAATGCATGATTGAATACACATGCTGAAATCAACAAATCAAACACTGGTTTTTATGGTAAACTGTTGATTATTATTTTCCATCCTTTTCATCGATTTGCTTGACAGTTGCTGGCTTGACCTGTCAGTATCTGTTTGTTTTAACATAGCTTCCAAAGCACACATTTCCATCGTTCAACAAGTCAACAAAATCTTTTTTGCCTGAATTCACTCACTAAATTGGTTAGATCGAAATACATATCAAAATTCATTTAGATATCACCCGAATTGCACAAGCACGCACCACATACTGTGTCTGTTTGCAAAATTCGTATGTAATGCGAGTCAATCATTTTGGTGACAGCTCGAAATTGAACGGAAAACCATTTTGGGATCCATTCAATGGGAAAATTAATGGAATGCTCTACCAGAATTTCTGTTATTCTGTCACACATTGAACCACAGCACATCAACCAAAAAACGGTTTGAAATTAATTCAGCTTGAAATCGGATTGGTTCGTCCCTTTATTCTTACTCTTCAATTGTGGTAAACCTTCGAATAGTGAAATCGCACTCGATCAATTTATCTGCCATCATTTCATCGAATATGAGTCGACTATGTGGCGGTTCAAGTCCTTTTTCATCGTTTGAAAGTTCCATAAATTGATCGCTATGAGGAGGGTTTACTGTCGTACATTTAGTGGCGTCAAACTTACCGGCTGTATAAATTGGGTTTATTGTTGTTATAGTAAGACCAGCTTCAATAGAACCTAAAGCGGCAATTGCAAATTCAGGAATATTTGGCAAACATACGGCAATCACATCGCCAATGTGCAAATTTAAATTCGAATGCAAACGAATTGCAAGTGCGGCTGAATGGTCACGTAAACGAGAATAAGTGTAAGAACGACCAGTTACTCCGCACACCTGAAATTATAAAGGAAAAACTCACATTTATTAGAGAACAAATGATTAAATGAAGATTTAATTAAAACAAAAAAACCGCAAATTGTGCATTTGAATGTACATTGATTAACTGTTGATTTATATCAAATGCTGTAAATAAGCAATGAAGTATGTGCAAAGCAAAGCTAAAATTGCATTAAAACAGTAATAAACACTTGTCGAAACGATTGTTTCTCCTGTCAAAACAACTCATAATTTCTATTTTTATCAGACATTATATTGAGATATTTTCAGCCAGCTGAATCAGCTCAGGGAGCTAATGCCAAACGCTGAAATGGAGTGAAAATTGTAGCAATAAAAGTTTTTTTATAACCATAACAATCACCTTTATTGTTTTCACTCCACTTCAGCGCCTGACGCTAGCTCCCGGAGCTGATTCAGTCGGCTGGAAATATCTCAATATAATGTCTGATTTTTATCAAATGCTTTGTTTGCTAGTTTACAAGTTTTTTAATGAAACAAATGTCTAATTAAAGCATTCGATCAGTGGGTCACACTGAACCTTGAAAAAGAATGTTTCCGGGTTTGTTAGTGAAATCGAAAAAAAAAAAACAAGAACGCTGATTAATTCATTCAAATTACCGTCGATTCCCCTTCACAAGCATGTTTTCGACTATATATTCACAATTTCTTGAAGATCTTTGTATATTTTTTTGTAATTCATGACAATTGTCATTCATAAATAAGTTGCAACAAATGACAGTAAAACATGTATTGTCGCTTGTGATGCGATTGTAAATATCAACACTTCAGAATTGTTTGAGTTCAAATTCCATTTGATTGTATTTATTTCAACATTGATTATTGAATATTTATTCAATTTCACACCGAAACGAATTCGAGCCAAAAGACCACTTTTAAATGTCATCTATATATATACACACCCATAGCTATATTGATAGAATATTGATCAATTCTACTTTGGTAATCTGTTCATGTTTTTATAGGCAATAAAAAAAATGAAGTGAACCAAAATAAAATAAAAGAACATTATCTATTGACCTGTATTGACTCAATTGTGTACTGCAAAAATAAAAATGATATCAATGTTTGATTTTTTAATTTCTTTTTAAACCAAAAAACAAACACCTCTGTTGAAAACAAGTGATATTAATTTTGTACAAATTAATATCTACACATGTTTCAAACGTTTTGTTTATATAAAAATGTGTTTTATCATTTCAATATGAACATGTGTACGTGCTGCAAGTCATGCATCAAGCTAAAATGGTCATCCAACGTCATCGATTCTCTTTTCCAACTGGTTTTCGGCATGTGTGTAAGCAACATTTAAAACCAAAAAATCACACTGTTCATATGGAACGTACGTACGAACAAAGAGCATAAACAAAAAACGGCCTTGAATTTTGTATGCGAGTTCTGAAATGTTTGAAACGCATTGTTGTGTGTTCGTTTGATTTTGCAATTTTATTTACAATTTAAATGTCATAAACAAATGTATGCTTGATTGTCTAAATTCAAAATTTTAATCGTACGCGTTTAATTGTTATCATGACAATAATGTAGATGGAGTTTTAAAGAGAAACCTATTACGGTGCTATAAATATCAGTAAATTTACACAATTGTGCCATTAAATGTACAATGTTCATATGGCAAAGAAAATGCTATCAAGCACTTGTAGTTTACAGAGAAACTGCTTCAATTAGATTAGATTAACAAGATATCGTTCACAAATGTCACACGTGCAATGATTTCTCGGTCACTCGCATTTAACCCGCAAACACACACGTAGTAATAACAAAACAAAACATGATTGAACTAATCTATGCAAGAGTTTGATTGTATTACATATACGCACTATTTGCGTTGATTCACCGAAATATCCCATCTCATCAACAAGATGAAATTATAGATTTATCTACCTATTCATTCCATCCAATTTAAGATCCAAGCAATTTTATTAAATCTTTATAGTCGCTTATCGTTCACGAAAAAATAAATAAAGTTTTTAATGATGCCAAATGGTTCATTAATTGTTAAGTTTCATTAACTCAAATATTGGATGGAAATTTGTTTTCAAACTATGCTTCGTTTACATACCGAGTGGGGAAATTGAATGAAAGTTCTGATATAAATAGAAAATATAAATTTGACTGTGGTGCCCCTTCTGAATGTGCTTAAATTCAAAACGACAATATATTCTGAATGAAGAGATTTTCCAATTAGTCTTGATGTTTACAAATAAGGTAGATGATTTGAAAGGTGACACAAATTGGCGTACGCTCGTTGCAGTGATGGCATAATGAGTTTGAGCTGTTAACGAGAGGTTTGTTCATCCGAAACGTGCAGTTTAATTGCTATCGTTTTTTCAATCATCATAAATAATTATATGAAATCGACATGCAATTCAAGATAAAGAACATTTAAAACATTAAAATAGATTGAAAAACTTTTGCCTGACTTTATTCTTCACTTTTCTCGTTCTTATGTTACTAACTGACTCACTGACTTCGTTCACTTATATAATCACATGATCGGCTAAAATCGGCATAAAATTTAAGAGTGCACTCTTGATAAAAAATGTAATCTACAGAGAAATATGACTTGAAATAGATAACAACCAACTTGTTTGTGAATCTGTTAGAATTTAATCCAAATACTGTTTACACAACTGAAATTGTCCTAAACCATTTGACGCACATCAATGCTGAAATTTTACATAGATGCAAGTGAAACAATGTAAACATTTCTATTTCGGCTTTTTATATCTATCCGTATCTGTTTTAGATACCGTATGACGGTAGCAATGAACCCAATAACAATGAGAATTAAAAAGTAAACAAATTGTGTAACTAGTGAAAAGGTTTAATTAATTTACTTACAACTGCAACATGATTGGGCCATTTAGCAACATTTTCCCAAACGTATTGATCAATAGCCAAATTTGGTGTCGTAACGACATCATATGGACTGTTTCGAATGAATCCCTCAACTGGATTGTGTGTAAAATACGATTGATACGAATCCATAATTGGTTGCGATTCTGCGGTGCTTACATTACGTTTGTTTGTTACAGTTTGACCTGATGCAAGAAAACGTTGTACACTTTGTTGAACACGATAGCCACCGCCGAGAGCACGGCTTGTAATTAGTTTCGATAACATTTTCGTTCTCTTTTTTCGTATATCTTGTAAAATTGGAATTGTACTCTTTTTTCTTCGAGACACTTCAAAAACTTGTCAGTTATTTGTTTCGATTTTATGCAACACCACCGTGAGTGAATGGTTTTTGTTTTTGTTATAAATTGGACGTTTTGTTCTGTTGTGGTTAAAGGTCACTTTTTCGAGTTGGTCGTCGTTCTTGATCGAAACTTCACACCGAAAAACTGGCGACTGTTGTCGATTATGACTGCGTTATCTGTCGTTGAACAAAAAAAAAAAAAGAAAATTTAAATACATTAAAATGGTTGCTGTTTTATGAAGTGTAAAACCAGTTTTTTCGGTTTTCTATGCAACAAGTCTATGTTTTCAATTCGATTCCAAAATTGACTGACAACGAAGAGAAACTCGCCCATTGGAAATACATTCATTAACATTTTATGCGATTTTTGAGTAATGAATTAACCTAACGAAGAAATTTATTCTCGATTCGAAAGCAAACATTCCAAATGTGGTTTTGTTTTCGAAATGAACGTTGGACTTGTGTATTTTAATATGTATTTCGTTTTTAAATAATGACGTATTAATTCAAGCCCCTCAAAAAAAATGATTGCTCCAGAGATGTTTGTTTTCTCACTTTCGCGCAACTATGTGTTTACAAAACACAGCTGGTTTATACGGAGTACGGCCCATGACGTCACCATCGCAGACGCTTAGACATACCGCCAAATACGCCATATCCAAAATATCAAAAGAAAGCAAAAGTGAAAATTGTGTGTGCGTCGCTATTTGTGCATTTTATCCATTAACGAAGAAAACCATATAAAATTGCGTCGTAAATTTATGCTACTGAGAAAATATCCGAAAAACTGACTTTTGTCGAGAACGAAAAAAAAGTGTTTTGTGCAATTGAGCTCAAAGGTTGCTGTCAGTCAATTGTACTTTGTACACAACCATTTATCCGTAGGTAAAGTACATCGAATTTACACTGTATTTAATTAGAAATTCAAACGGTAAATTAATTCAAAATTCGACTTTTGGCATTATTCCAATCGATTGACCTGCCTCCGAACAACAAAGAATAACAAAAAAAATATGCGTAAAGTAAACAAAATCGCAATGAAATGAAATGCAGTCAATCGAAACTAATTTTTGATTAAAGTTTTAAAAAAAATCACTTTACTTTGTTTTGCTGATTATAGCTGTGCGTCTGTCTGTCTTGTCTTGTATTTTTCGTTCTTTTTGACTGCCTATATTCAATCAAGTAGTATGTTTATTTATATTGACGACTCAAGCGTTAGCCCGTTGCAACGTTGCCGGCACTTCGAATTGAACTGAAGCTCAATGTTTCTGCTGCTAATGCTAAACCAACCCAAGGCACACAACGACTCAATGTGTATAGCTGACACTTTTTTTCTATCAGCAAATGCAAGCATACACACACGAAGCGAACGAGACAAAACGAAAACAAAAGAGAGATTTTTTTCTCTACTTCAGTCGATAGGCAACGCTGTTTATGATATGATCACAATGTTGATACTTGTTTTTACTCTTGCTGGGTGTTGTGTACACACAACGCAACTCAGACAACAGATATCGCTTGATATAGGCAATGTACATTGCATACAACACCAAAACGGCTTTTTATATAACAACAATAACAACAACGACGACGACGACGACATCAAGTAAAAGACTCACATTCGTATGGCCTATGTAAAATCCATAGTAAATGTGTGTGTAGCGGCAAATGGTTTATTTACGTTGTCGGAATTAAATGTTCAGATTACATATTCAATTCGAAAAACGGAGGCAAAACATAACATATACAACGATGAATGTTGTTGTGTATGCGCTCGGTTTCTGCATTTTTGCATGTTCTGTTTGTTTTGTTTATTTTTGGATTGTTCGAGCCGAGATTAATAACACTCAAATTGAGCAGCATTTATTTCTATGGCGCTGCTTCTACTTTCGGCTCCATGTGTGCGTTTTGCTGTTCTGTTGTGGTATGTTTATATTGACTGAACTGAATTTTTTTCGCCTATATACATTCTACTGTTGTCGTTTTACATTAATATTTCTTTTGAATAATTTTTTCAACCGTCGTTTTTTTGTTGTGGCTGCCTTTGTTATGAATAATTTTTCGTTCATTTATACGTCACTTTTGGATGAAATCACAACAAAAGCCTGACAATACAAAATTGTGTTAAATTGATTTCCATTTGGCGTGCAACCACACAGACTCATCACGTATCAAAGGCAGTTTGTGTGACTTTAATTTCGCGCAATAATGCCGCGTCATTCGATACTAACATTATTTATGTGTGAGACATTTTTTATGCAGTAGCTGACTCCTACCCTAACTTTGGTTTTTTTTAGTGCGTTACTTTTAGCGCTCTGCTTTAGTGCATCAGTTGCAGTAATTGCAAATTTTATTTGAACGTAGAAATGATAAAATTGTCGTTTGTATGCGCGTTCAACCTTCCACTATAGTTCGCCAATATGTAAGAGAAGCAAAAGACTTTTAAATGATTTGCTTGACATGGAGCAACAAACGCATTAAACGATACAATATAAGTGTGCGTTAAATAAAGCAACAAAACATGTGATAATATTGAAATGCGTTGGTGCAAATGAATTAGCAAGACTGAAATCCAAAATGAATTTACCAACTGCGCAATAAAACCATGTAGTAAATTGCAAAGAAGCGTACCGTAAGTATATAACATGTGGCTATTGCACGCAACGTCATTTTGACTTTATTCGTCTTCGCCGATTTTAAAATGTTGAGAGTATAATTTAAGTGGGCAATTTATTGAAAAAGGTGAACCAAGTGGAACGCATATAAAATACACACGATTCGTACACTGATTTCTAGCATTAACCAATTTCATGCGATACCACAACTCATTTATTCTAATTTACATTGAAACGAAGTAGCTCAGCTAATTTTCGTGAATTTCATTTGAAACTTATTTGTTACTTTTACAACGAAGAGCATTCATTTGTAGCATTGCATTTAACCATCCACAAGAGAGAGAGAGAGAGACTCAACAACATATTCCCGGTTGGATTTATTAGCACTCAAACTAAAATCCACAATAGTTCCATGTGTGAAAACATTGTCGTTGTTATATTGTCCAAAGACTTTGTTTGAGAACATCAACATTAACGAAGTAACGAATCGAAATTTAAACAAATAAATAATGCACTTAATTTCATATGGCTGTAAAACAAAATGAATTCAATGTTAGAATTTCAAATTGGATTCTTTCTCTCTTTCTCTGGGTGGACACAACGGAAATGTCACAATGAATGTAGAAAAGTTAGCAACTGATACACACCATCAGGCATTTGACCCATTTGCAAATTGTGAAATGAGCAAATTTCTCAAGTGTTATTCGACCATCATTTTATCATTCTCATTCTCAGTGGATTTTCACTTAAATTTATGTGGCGTATTCCATTTTATTTATGGAAACCCATAAAAATTCGGGATGAAAAACAGAGAAAAACTTTTTTCTTTCAAATGTACACATTGATACAGTTGACATTTTGTAAATTGATACCAAGTGCACATTTTACAAACTCAAAGCCAATCCAATTTCATGCAGAGATCAACCAAATAAACAATCAAATGCTATACATTTGATCGAATTTGTAAAATTGGCCAAAAATCTTTTAACACAGTAACTCTCATTCGTTGATTGAAAATTGAATGTGTAAACAAAAAAAGAGCATTTGCATCGCAATGTTGGGCATAAAATAAGGTGAAATAGTTTTGGTGTATAAGAATGGGAAATTGGCTGGCAAAAATGGGGAATTGACCCCCCAAAAATAGGGAATTGGCTGTCAAAAATGGTGCGTTTGGTTGTGACAAATGGGGAATTGGCTGTCGAAAATGTATCTTTTGGTTGTCAAAAATAGAAAAATTTGGCTGTCAAAAATGGGGAAATTGGCTGACAAAAATGGGAAAATTGCCCCCCAAAAATGGGGAATTGGCTGTAAAAAAATGCGTCGATAAAAAAAAAACGAAAAAAAATGTGTAAAAATTTCTTGAAAGTAAGAAAAAGTAATATTATTCGATGCAATTTGATACTTTAATTACATTATATTTCTTATGGTTTTTTGTCTTTTCTTCATTTCGTTGTTTCATATTGTTCCCCCGCTAGGGCTATCAATAAAATCCAATTATTCTTTGTTTCATCTGCTCGACAGCCAATTTCCCATTTTTTACAGCCAATTCCCCATTTTTACAGCCAATTTCCCATTTTTGACAGCCAATTCCTCATTTTTGGCTGCCGTAACCTCATTTTTGACAGCCAATTCCTCATTTTTGACAGCCAGTTCCCCATATTTGACAGAAAATTACTAATTTTTGACAGCCAGTTCCCCGTTTTTTGCAGCCAAATCCCCATTTTTGGGGGGCAATTTCCCCATTTTTGACAGCCACATTTTCCCACTTTTGACAGCCAAAAGCTACATTTTTGGCAGCCAATTACCCAGTTGTCACAACCAAATGCCCAATTTTTGACAACGAAACGCACCATTTTTGACAGCCAATTCCCTATTTTTGGGGGGTCATTTCCCCATTTTTGTCAGCCAATTTCCCATTTTTGACACACGTTTACCCTTTGCCATAAAATAAGCACATTGACGTGCAAAAAGTGTGCGGTCAGTGATTCGATAATTGATTTGATTTTTGTGCATACACACCTCTCATTTCAATTTAGATAATATGAAATAAAACAACAATTACAAAAATGCGGCACACTTTTGTGCAATATAATTGTTGGTGTGCATTCATAAACATGCAAACGAAATTGTACCGCCGACAGCAATAAATGCATCTGCATATAGAAAAGGTTCATTGTGGTTTTGTTGCGAACGCGTTGAATCATTTAAAATACATGATTGGAAATGTGCGTCATCGTTTCCAAACGCAAATGGAAAGCTTTATGTTGGTTTATAAGAACAAATACCGACAAATACATACTATACCATGCCATGGCTATGCCAATATCATAGCGGAAAAATGGAAATTCTATTTTTAGACATAATAAAAATAACCATCACGAAAGAGTTGCAGTGAAATTATCTCTATTGAAGGTTGCTCACCTCTTTCTCTCTCTGAATCACACACAAACACACTCACACACATTGGCTCCGACGTTAAATGCATGCAAAACTAGCTAACGAGACATGCAACGATATGGATAGAAGCAAATCATCCACACAGTGTTGTTTGTCTAACAGTAGTAGAGTGCTTGTGAGAAGAGAAAAAAAAGAGTTAATGGGATGAGAGAATGAGTGCAGGAAGGAAGCACGTATGAATGTGTATTATTATCGGAATAACAGCATTTAATCATTGTTTTAACCGTTGCCATCCAACCCAAAGTACAAAACGGGAATGTTTGGTGAAGAGCAGCGCGAAAACGAGATTCACTATGCAAACGATGAAACAATTATGCCAAACCATGTATTCTACGAAAATGATCTTTTTCTCACTCCGTGTTTTGTGTGTACGAACTATGAGAACGAAACTTGATGTATGGCCATTCGCTTCTTAACGATAAAATACAAAAGTAGAATTGCCACTTGTTCGTCGGTCGCACATTTTGTTCTCAGCAAAATGCACTTCCCACTTTTGATATCCATATTCGACATTTGGGTCAAAGTTGCCAGCATTTGGCGTGCTCTCGTTAGATGTGCTACATAATGATGTGACTTTTGTTCGAGTTTTTCTCTCTCAGCCATTTAGCCTGGAACACAAATCTCTTTGTTCATTCGCTTACCGTCAATTTTCTCTGTCTTGCTCTTTCGATTTTTCTTTTCCATTTTTGTCTGCGTACGATTTTCTGCCACATTTCAACTATTTGGTCTCGACCAGTTTCTATGTTGCCACTTCGCTTTACTATGTTTTGTCGATGTCATAATCACCACATTTATCATGAAACTGGAAAATATGTGTGTCAAAAACAAACGGATTCGGTTTTTTCATTCTTTGTTTGTACGATACGATGAAGAGAGAACATAACAAGAACTTTTCGCGTTGCACACATGAATGTTTAAAATATTGCCAGTGTTATGGCACAAGGAACATTTTGAATGCGTGCAACATTTTATAGTTTGAATGAAGGGTAACATATGTCACTGAATGTTATAACGAAATTGCATTTTCCAACGATGCACAACAGCATTGAAATCCAAAAATGTTGGATTCTCGATGAGGTTAAATCATTCTAATTTCAAAACCTCATACATAAGTCAGTTGGAATTGTTAGATTCCAACACAAACGCACGGATTGTTACTCACACGCACGGATGTGCATTTGGTAAAAATTAATTTTTGAGAGTAATACAATTTCTTCAATTTTGTCGCAAAATTCGAAAAATTTTAACCGATTATCTCACTTTTCAAACTCACGAGCTCTGATAGGTATTCAAAATGAATGCCGGAAGATATCCCAAAAATACTATTTTTTACCAAAAAAGAAAAAGACAAAAAGTCTTTCTGGCTTTTGGGAATGAATCTCATTTTCGACTTTGCGGAAAAATAAACATTTTGTAATCAAATGAATCCATTTTTTGTACAAAAAATATGTACTGCACTATTTATGCTCAAATTAAAATTTATATTCCAAAAAATGTTTGTTTTTAAATGTTCTGGAGACTTTGTGCCATGTTGTATCCTCTCTCACAATAATTTCCAAAGTCTTATTGTCTGAAAAGTTATAAGAAAGTTCTCACAAATACAAACAATCGAATCCTCGAAAAATGAAATGAAAAACAAGGGCCTCAATGTGTTACTGTGGCTCACTCCGTGCAGTACATCAAATTGCTTACTTTGTTGAAGACTTCAACGACTTGATGCATTCTACATAAAGCCACCAAATCCAAATGAATTCATTTTGTGAATGGAAACTTAAAAAAAGGGTTTTCCTTTCATTTCGAACAGATTTATTACACGTTACACCTGTGAAAAACAAAAAATCCAATTTACCCGTTAATTTGGAATACCCGTGATGGAATAATGTGATTTGACACTTTTTGTGGTTTTTATTTCGTTCTCACTGAAAACTATGACATGAAAAAAAAACAACAGAGAATAAAAATTAACACTTTTTATTTATGGATTCGAGCAACGACGAAGTAAAATAAATGGAATGAAGACAGTTGAAAGTTTCACCATTTAAATAAATAAAACTTGCTAAAAGATTATAAAAAGATATTCACACCATTTTTCATCAAACAAAATCCGCTCCGGCAAAGTTTTTATCCTGTAATTATAGAGGAATGAAATGTCTTTTTTTATGCTAGAAAGTTATTTTCAACTTGAAGTTTTTTTTGGCGGTTGTCGCCTCTGCTGTCGATGATGCTTCTTCTGCATTCGTATTCAATTTGCTTCGACGCAAGACTTAACAGAACGTTAAAATGATTTGTTTAAAAGCTTGCAATCGGGTGTTCATTCAAAGGTCTTTGTTCCATTGATAGTGTCACCCTGTGCCCGCTAAAACAATGTGGCCAAATTCCAATAGAAAACTTATTACCCCATACAATCGTCTTTGTCTAGCCCATACAAATTGTTATAGCTCATCGTGTTATCCACATTTATGTTGTTTTCGAATGTATCGAATGCGCCGATGCAAGAGTTGTCACAACATTCCCTCTTCTTAATTTTGTGTGTGTTTCCAGTTTTTATGCTTTGAATAATTGATAAGCTAAATCAATCAACGTTTTGAAATAAAGTCAACAGAAAAACTTATCGCCAAAGTTTTTATCACCCGACTTATTACAACCCTGATAAAATATAACTTATTTATGGTTTGTATGTGAAAAGCACACGACAGTTGTTAACCGTGGATTTTAACTGCCAGTTGCAAGTTAATACAGTCTTTCCAGTTGTTTGGCGGCTGGAAGAGGGCCGACGTATCCAGTCGTTGGAAAGTGGAGAGAGTGGTTAATGTTGAGGGTGCAGCAATGGCACAATACAGTACTAGTTAGAACGTTGCCTGAGAATAAACGGTATCGTTGTATGTTTCGCGCGTTCGTCTTCACTCACTGTGTATTTAGTCCATCGAATTGTGTTTTTTCAAAATTCCTCACTTCAAATTCTTCGAATGAAATAAATATTAATAAACTTTAAGTTATTCATTGTTTTTTTAAATCGCACACATTTGAACTAAATCCAATTGATTTGTGCTTCATATTTATACTTTTGTTTTGAAAGTTTTAAATTAATATTTAAACTAGAGTGTGCCAATGAATGCAAGTTTAAAAAAAACACGAAAATTTTAAGAGAAAATCGAAAAAGAAAAATTCATAGAAAAAATTTAAAACCAATTTGTGATTTATAAGTTTACTATCAATTGAAATAGTGACTAGTTTCGAGCAATATTTATATCAAAAACTCATTTGAGTATCAAAAAGTTGTGACCATTTGACAGAAATCGCCAAAATTTTGGACAAAAAAGAGCGGTGAAAATCTTTGACCGCAAAGAGAGAAAAGAACTGAAAAAATTGAAAAGTACATATCTCATGGTAAAAATTCAAGTACTCAACATTTATTGTATGTCGGTAGAGCATTCGAATTGTCCGAATCGAACAAACAAACAAAAAACATTTTTCGATAGAATTTGGGCGTTCAAGTGTGAACCATGTGCGAAAAGTCAGTGTGAAAAGTTTCATTGCATTTTATTTGTGAGAATAGGCAGAAAAGTTGAAAATGTGCAAATCGTTGGACGACTTTGAATTTGTTCCAAACAAACAAACAAAAAATCCGTGTGAAAAAGAAGAAAATGCTTTCTTCAAGCGAAACACATTAAAACGAAAATGCTACGTTAACTAGACCAAAGCAAACATTTTTGGCTTGTAGAATTAAAGCCGTTGCGATGGGGTATTCTGGCGATTTTAACGATTTTTCATTTGCCAGTTACGAATGTAGAGTTTCAGCCGTTGGTCTTTGTGCTCTCATTTTGCCCGTGGTCGATTTTTCTTTCATTCTGTGTACACATATTTGGCTGAGCACTTTCGTTCATTGCCTCATGCTTTCTTATGGATTTTTTTTTCATTGTTTCTTTGCATTTTCTCTTGTGAATTCAGTCTCGGTCTGTGTTCTCTATTTCGGTTTTTTTCTTCGAACCTTGTTCATTTATTATTGTAACATTCATTCGGTTCTTTGGGGTGTATAACATTTCAACGGGATACATGTGTGTGATATATATATATGGTCTTGTAGTGTGTGGTTTGTGAAACTTACCTCTAATCTGCACACGAGTGTGTAAAAGCGGAAATTTAAACAACATTCGTGAGTTGAATGCAACATTGAACTGCTTGCTGTCGCTGACTGGTGTTTGGGTAGTTTCGGTGCATTCACTTATATAATTTCGTAATTGAATGAACAATCTACCTAAAAAAACAACGATTACCCTGAATCATGGTGGAAAAACTTTCTTAACATTTCAAAATGCTGATATACACCTTTATTGAGCGAAAAAAAAACTCCGTCTTGTTCAAACGTAATACGGAGTGTGTGATTTGCTGCCATTAATGATGAAATTATTTATAATTATTAATTCAAATGCAGAGGAAACCAAGTTGATGAATGAGATTACTTGCGTGTTTTATTTCATTTTCAAAACTAACCTAAACTTTTCTTTTAATGTTTCAACGTGTTGTTACCTAACATAAGCAAAATCTAGAAAAAAAATTATATCGATTTTCACATACAATTTTATTTCTTGATTTGTTTGTTTTCTGCACTTTCCTCCATAATAATATCCCTTTAAATCAATTGTTTGAGTATACGAATGGAAAGTTATTCGTTAAAATGTGGTTAGTTCCGGTTGGTTATGAAAGAAGAAAACTATGCGGAATTTCTCGAACATTTCAAAATTCGGACGTTTTTTATATTTGAACACGCATCATTGTTTGGTTTACACAGAAACCTTTGAATGTGATTTTTCGGGAAAAAATAGAAGTTCCGCAAGTTCAACAGCCGATATGATTGAAGCGTGAAAAGCCACTTTATGTGTCAGTGTTTTCTTTTCTTAATGCTCACTTCAACAATTTGCTCCAAGCCGTCGCTTTTGTGCCATTCTTTCTTCGTTTTTTTTTTCACTGAAAAATATTCACATCGCGTATTATTATTATGATCAGAATTTCCAGCAGTGTGTTCAATGGTGCTCATTTTTATGGGAAAAAACCCCATTGCCTCGATTCCATCATTTCCGTTTGGCAACTCCATTTCAAATATTTTATTTTTGTTGGTTTGATTCCGAATCATTGTTATGCCATATTATTTTTCTCGCTTTCTTCTCACTGTTGATCACAAATATATTATATTGCGATGTTTTACGGTCTGACTGGCTTTCATTTTCGATTCCCGAATGAGAGTTTCGATGAGATACCATTTGGCATTGTGCTCAGACTCGAGTAAATGCAACCACAGTGCTTCACCCATAAAAACAACAACAAAAGCACCATTTTATGTATTACAAACGTTCGGTCGGCAGAGAAGTATTTTACAGATATCAACAAATACCAAGAAAATATATAAGTCGACAAGTAAAAAGGAATAGTGCTGAAGGGAATAAAACAGAATGAAATGACAAAGAAACAATATTAAAAACAAAAAAACTATATGCCATTGTTTTAGTAGCCATTTCGTAAACATCGTGTGTATGAAAGCATGCAGACAAAATAATAGCGAAAAAACCTAAGTAAATACAAATGTACCGATTCACCCATCTATTTAGATGACTCGAAATCAAACAACCAAAACAAATACTATTTATTTGCAATGTTGCTGGTACCGAACGAACGTTTGCACTGTTGTCAGTGCTGGTGGTACTTTGCTGTGCACCATTTTTGCTTGAGAACAAATGGAGCAAATTTTTGTGAAAATAAATAAAACCAATTGAAAAACACAGTTTATGCGAAATAAAGTCTCGAGAGAATAAAAGGTTTTGTTTAGCAAACGTGTCGGAGCTTTCAAAGTTTCTTATTTCCCTTCGCTCACTTTGCTCGATCGAATCGATTTAGCTAAATACGACCTTTTTGAAACTTTGTCTCAAGATCCAAAAGAATCCGCATAAAGCCAATCAAATATAATAACAAAAAAAGGAGGAAAGTAGTGTATAAAAATAGACCTTTATTGTCTCTGGCTCGCTCTCTCTATCTCTCTCTCTCACTCGCTCTCAATCAAAAAACGTCTTATGAACGAAAAATAGTTGTTCGACCAGCGCCACCACTATTAATCCTCTCAATTTATTTCATTTTGCAAGTACATTTTCCGTCTCGGAAACTCCAACAATATTCATTTCTGTATAAACCAGAGAGAAAATTATGTGAAAAATACACACACCCCAAAAAAACGAGTTAAACGATGTACTGCTAACGAGGCACAAAGGAATTAACTCGCCCGTGCATACAAATAACAAAAACATATACAAAAACAAACTCGGAGCTTATCTTGTGTTTTTGTCAAGTATAAATCATGCAAAATCCGCCTTTTTAAAATAACATTTGCTTGTTTTCTTTTCCAACGATGAGAATGCAGATGTAATGCAGTTGAAATGATAAATTCTGGCGTAAAAGTTATTTGTTTCAGAAATGACAAGAGACAAAAAAGCAGCCAAACTCAGTGGTGCATATTAACGACAATTCATTTTTGACAATTTGACAGCTGAATCGAAAGTTTCTTCTCTTCGCCATAATATTCAGTCCAAAAGTTATTTCATCATTACATTAAATACACCACTGTGCACCGTCAATTCATGCTCTGCATTCGAGCTGGTGCACTTGGTACTTTGGAAATGACAAAAACAAAATTGAATTCGGTGTGCACTTACGAAAAAAGTTTTTTGCTTATTTCTTACAAAATTGCAGAATAATAAGTAAGTATAATAATTATTATGGTTGTTGCGGAAAGAACGATAACGAAAACACGATTTCACTGCGTATCTTTTTAAAGAAGTTCAAACATGTAACATGGGTAACGTGTATGGTGTAAATTTGGGGGAAGTTTTTTTTGATTACTTTTGGCTCATATACGTGCAAATTATAGTTGAAAATTCAATTTCCTACAGTTGCATGCGTCTATTTGATGTTTATTGCCTGGAACTTTGTAACTTTTATTGCAAATGACACGAAACATCCGTTTTTCCATAGAATCTTTGCAGTCTCAGCATGGCATTACTGTAAATAATTTCGTAGTTAATCTTTAATCCGACAATAAAAACGAGGAAATAAGTGTACATTTATCGTCTTGACTTGTTGGACGAATCTTCTTTTCCGGCTCAAGCTGTTTTCCGTGCTTTTTTCGGTACGAAAAGTCGCAAACAGAGCAGCGCACTATGTAGTGTGTGCTCACAATTCAATCGTGTTATTTGTTGCATTTTTCAATTTTTATAATATGCGTAACATTGGATTTTCTTGGAAAATCTTTAAATCTATTAGGTTGAAGAAGATTAAAGTAAAGTTCAACTGTAATACGATTTAAAAAACGTAATCTCAAGAGAATATGGAACAGGATCCATGCAAAACCACTTGACTTTCAAAGCTCATTTGATTGATTGACAATCATTTTTTTTCCATTCTATGAGAATCAACAAGAATGCCATTGACGATGTCAATCGTTAGATTTAGAAGGCCACCCACGGTGACACCGTAAATTGGGATAAAATAAGTCTTTATACACAGATCAATACGCTTTAAATATAGCAAAAAATTGAAAAACAATATCGCTCATTTTATGCTGTGATGAATCAAATGTCTCAAATGGATGAAATATCTAAAAATAGCTTTCCATTGAAATGAGAGGTATAACATTCAAACCACAATCCAATCTAAATATTACCTCAACGACCGCTATGTGCTGTTTACACATTTTGCATACAAAAAATCAATAGGGAATGCTCTATTATAGGTAACGAAAAGAATGTGTGTCATCTAATGGATAACCAAAGCTGTTGTGAGTTCACCATTTTCTATGGATTCACAAAGAATAACATTTTTTTTTGCAGAACAAAACAAGAGTATAATATCCGGAAAATAAGAACAAAATATACAGAAAAAAACATAATCCATACATCAAATGACGATATGAGCACACTTGAATGGTACGACACATGTGAGTTGAACGAATGAAAGAGGGAAAAACATGCACAGTATGAGCTAGGCCTTCTATAGAAACAAGAGTGAACAGAAAACATGCTGAATGCTAAATAATGGATTGTAATTGAAAACAAATGGAAATAGTATCCCACATATATCGCAAATTTGCTCTAGATTTTCCACAGCTAACCACGACAACAACATTTTTATACTCCCTTTGCGCGCCACTTTGGTACATTGATCATTTGAGCCGAGTCGAGGCGACACAATTAAAGAACACACACATTCCGTTAGTCGCATTAAGCAACGGCTTCGTCTCATCGTCGGCTATTGTTTCAAAGCCAACAGAATGAGAGCTGGAAAAATAGTGAACGGAAGGAAGAAAAAAGCGCATTAAAGATAAAAGGCGTGAGAGAGTGAGAGATTTAAAGAGAAAAAAATAACATTGTATATGTTCCGAAATAAAAGAATAGAAAAAAAAATGTGGGAAATAAATGAGTGAGTTGAGCATATGAAAAAAAAAGAACTGTGTGTTTATCGGAAGTGAAATCATGTACAAAGGAGGCCAAGCAGTAGGTAATCGAGCGAAAATGGAATATTGCTGTTGCAAATGGCTACAAAATGCGAACTCGATGTTCATTTTGGCCCAATTGCTTAGAGTGTCGTCGGTTTTTTTTTCATTGCTCTCTGTCATCATCCTTCTACAATGTAATGGTTATTCAATATGCGTTTTAGTCGCTTTTTATATATTCACATACTCTCTCCTTGATATATCTATAAACCTTCGTCACCATGGGATTAGCACAGTAAAATACATTTAAATATTGACGCCATTTGATTCCCATGTAAATCATCACCATTGCAACTTTCGAATTCTTCAGTACTACAGACATTTTCTGAAATAGATGTGGTACAGCATTGGCCATTTGTGATTTGAGAAATGTGTGACATAAAGCAAATTGATGGTGTGCAGAAAACTGTGCACAACGACAGCTGCAAATGTATATATAATTGAATACTGTGTGTGTTAAGTAAACTTTTTTATAAAATTAAATGTCTCACAACAAGCAGAAAAATGCTTGCGATAAAAATCTAATGAAATACCATTTCTTCTGGAACCCTACTCCATAAAAAAATGTTATGCCATGTTTTGAAAAATGTTTATATTAATAAAAAAAGCATTTGTAAAATCTGCTCGGTTTTCAAGTCGTTAAGTTGAAAACGGTTGCCACTTATTGTGTGCACCATCCCTCGGTGCATTCCAAATTCAATGAGAGAAGATAAGAAATGAATTGTCCACGTCTCAAGTATTCATCTCATTAAAACTCGTTAATGTTGTCAATTAAAAGTAATTTATTCATAATTTTCTTTTGTACGGTTACCGCCATTTCTCTACCGATCTCTCCCTTTTACATTCTGTCTACTGGCCATGATGAAAGAATGAAATTAAGCACGGGAGTATCAAATACCAAGAGATAAGAGTAGGAATTGCTGCAGACAAAAGTGAGAAAAAAATGCTTTGTGCTAAAAGTGCGATAGGTTCCAGAGTTTATCCAACTTATCAACGTTAATTTTGGCAATCTTCATTTTATCGTCCATTTTTTACGAAAGACTTGGCATTTGCCATGATCTTTTATCCTTTTAATTTAGACATTCAGTATGGGTCTTCTTATTTTCAACGTCAAGCGCGAAAAAGCAAATATCAAAATACAGAGGGCACTCTTTTTCTACTTTAGTCGTATTACACAATGAGCTTGAACAAACAAACTTGAAGTTGAACCAGCAGTTTTTTACATACACTTTCTATGACCTTTTTCTCTACAACTGGACATTCAAACTTGGAACAACTCTAAAGCGCAGACAGAAAACAAATACACAAAAACTTCAAACCATTCAATATTTCCATTCTATTTTTCGTTCAAATTAGAAAAAAAATCGTTCTGAAATTCATGCAAGCAAATGTTATGTTGTTTGTAATTTCTATATTTATCTTTTAATGATTGTGCAGTGTTTGATAATTTCCAGCTCATGGTTTTTTGTCTGCAAATGCATTTTTGATGGTGGCTGATATAATTATTGTGATTTCCAAAAGCTACTACAATTACGATATACTTGGAGCATAGTTTTTTGTTATGCGTCACCATTGAGCTCATTGAAACATGAAGAGGGCCAAGCGTTCTTTCTAGAAAGTGATTCAAGTAAATGCGAAATTAACGACTATTGCTTCATAGATTGTGTAAGATTGCTAAAGTTTTGATTGCATTTAATTACAAAAACTAAAGCGAATGAGAAAAAACGGTGCTTGTTATTATAACGGTAATAGTTATTTATTTTGCTGTTTTTTTTCTTATTTTCATTTTTTTTTTTTTTCAATGGAAGTTTCGTGCAAAGATTATGAAATTACAAAGAGTTCGAAATTTTTCTGTGAATTTTTCTCTAATCACCTTAAAAACGTAGCAGTTTATGTCGTTTTAATTATTTATCGGTTACTTTTGGACGTTCAATCATGCAGAACATGTCTAACATTAAAAGCGGCCACACATTTTTTTCCGCTTCCAATATTTAATGTGTCCGTAAAGTTTCCTGACAAGCAATATTTTCAATTTTCCATATAAAGAACCGGTTGCCAAGAACGAACGAAAATGGTGAAATAACCAAGGGAAAAAAGAAAAGGGAATGAAAATATGTGTTACAACATGACAAATAACTGTGCAAAAATCGGTTGGCTAGACATAACTTGAGCTTTAAAAGCCATTGTTCATAATTTACGTTGGAACGAATGAAAATAAGAAGCAGCACAGCATTGGCTACAAATTTGAAGCGAAAAGCAACGAAATAAAAAATCATTAACTATTTAAGGATGTGGAGTGAACAAACAAAAAATACACATCAGAATTACACAGAGTTCGTGTGTTGGCGGTGAACGAACGAGAATGAAAATCCATTTTTCATGTTGCCTTTTATTTATCAAGCTGTTGAGAAATGGAAATGATCTCTTTGATAAAATATGGACATCAACTAAGGCATGCAACAACAAAATCATGCTCATCACCTTCTCTCCCTTTGTCGATACAACAACTTAGTGCATTTCCAGCAATTCGTTTGGCAAAAATGACGATGAAAAATGTAACAAATCCCATTTTCTGACATCGACCAAAATTCAAGGTTTTTTTCTTCGCTTTCTGGACGACTACATGCATTGCCTGATATATTTGGTTCTGCTTATTTGTTAGCACAACATATATAATCTAATCTAAAATCAGCAAAACAGTGTTTTTTTGGATTCATTTTTAAAAATCGATATATACGCTACTCAATCTCAAAACCAAGATGAATGGTATTAAATTTTGATGCTAAAGAGGCCTAAAGCAATCGAGGGATATTTATATTCAAATTCTACAATCTTGGCAATTATTCGAATTAATTGGCAATTGCATGAATCATATTCGGGATTTTATCCACTGTCTCAACTAACGCTTCATTTGAGTCTCAAGAGAGGCATCTACGGCTTTCAGGCACAACCCATATATATGGCCAGTGCAATTCTACTCGCAGGCGTCAGTCACTCTTACGCGGAAAATGCATAATAAATGAACATTTGTGTTATTAACTTGAATTTCATCTTTTATTAACAACTTCGTTGGAGAGAAAATGTAAATAAGAAAAAGATGCCATTTTAATCATATATTTGCCAAATTTTGCTGAGCATAAAATGGTGTGTTCAAAGTCATTTGTTCGGCCTGACACATCTGTGATATCGTCCAAACACTTTCATTTCATGCTTATTTTCCATTATTCATAGAGCTTTCAACATCTCCCCCAAAAAGCGAAGTCTCGTCTCTGTATGTGGACCGACGCCGTTGAAACGGATGTCAACATTTTCAAAGTATGTTTTGTTGCATGTACCGAAAATCCGAACGAAATCAATTCATCCGAAATTTGTCGTTTTCAACGTCAATCGCTTTGTTTTCACATGAATGTATCCATATAATTGATTATGAGAATCGTATTTTATCGCTTTATTTTCTGAATGAATAAAGCGCGTGATTTTCATGCTACATAGATTTACCAAACAGAGATTATCGCTCCAATCCTGTCAATCAGCATTATTTTTATGTGTTACATCCAAACACCCAGATAGAAATCAATATTTTTATGACACATTTATTTTTGGTTGTGTACATTTCAGTAATTTCATCGTTATGATCGTTGTAAGCGTGTTTCATTAAATGCAACATAAAATCGACGAAAATCGCAAGCAATATTGTACATTTCGGAAAATTGGATTCAGTGTGCGTTTTTGTTTTGTTTCAGTTACGTTTTATTTGCAAATATTCAGCGTTTCAATGGAATGTTTTTTTTGTCTCTTTTTTCAGGAATAGCAATCAACGTTCCGTTTGAAAGAGCCAACAGCATCGTTTTACTAGGACTTAATAAGCGACATACATTGAAAAATTAATAGAGACGAAAATTGCAATTGTGGCAAATAAAGTATGTGGAATCCAATCAACAATCTCACCGGGGGCTCTATGGCCAAAAATATTGAATGCATACACATGGTATAAATACCGTATATCCTACATACAGGAAAAATAAATCGCCATACGAAAACATTAGTGTAAACATTTCATAGAAGAGTTAAAGTAAACAATTAGTTCAAGTTATAGATAAATTCAAATGTTTAAATTGTGTACGGTCAATTAAAAAAGATTACAATATATGGTCGCATTTGTTTTGGTTTCGGATGCAATATTAATTATCTCTGTCGCGCTCTCACTCTCGCCGCGCTATGTGTGAATGTGTAATTTACGTGAAATAAAGATAGTTAAATGCAATAAATAATATTCATAGTGAAAATATATCGCTTCCGTTGTCTGGTGCGGGCGCGTCCATTTGTAATTTCGGCTCTTGATACGAGAATAGTGAAAACTCTAATTTAGAAAATCAGCGCAATAAAATGCATTTAATATGGTTTATGGCAAGGACTGCGTTTCGATGTTGATGATGGTCCATATAATATCCTCTGTTTTATTGTGTGCACCGTTTGTCCCAGCATTTCCAAGTGTTGTAAAGTAACCGAATAAATTGCTTTTAAAGTCGTTTCGTTTTTTGGCAAAACGTGTAGATGTGAGTGTGTATAAAAGGCTAATTAAGTGTCGTCGCCGTTTATGTTCCTCTCTCATTTTCATTTTTATTTTTATTCCACGTAATTTCGTGTTCGAATCCGTAATATTGGATACAGTCTCGATATAAACACACACATACATAAAGAATCAAACGGAATATCGTGTGCTATCCAGTGATTAGGCATGTTCGCAAACAGTAATCATAATAAAATCGAGGAAAACGATCATAAAATGTAAAAAGAAATTAAAATATTGTGTTTTCATGCATTTGAATTGGTGCTTGTGTGTTGTTTTTGGGTGTGTGTGTGTAAATTATTCAGTCTTCAGTATGCACGCATATAAATAAATACGTAGGTAATGGGAATTCTTTTGCACAACCACTACATCGACTGAACTTTTTTTTACTTAATGTTGATTACGGTTATTTGGTTGCCGTATTGGAAAGCACTCTTGGTGTATTGGGAAAATAAAGTGGCGAATATATGGCCATATATTGAAAAGGACGCAGGCAAAAATTCAAGCTCATAAAATATAACCATTTGCACGCGACGCCATTCGCGCTATATATACCGGCATTCAAAAGTCTACACCACAACCATACAAAACACACAGCGATACGGCAATGAGAGAATGAAACGTCAGAGAAAAACACAGCGACGTCAGCAAGTTCGGGTTTCATATTGGAATTAATACGGATTTTCTATTATGCTGAATAAAATAGTAAATAGAATGATGTTTACGCTGCAGAAGTTGATTCCAGCTAACATAAGACATCGCACTCAAGCATTATCATCATTTACAACAAATCTGGAGGTTATCGATCGGCCGACAAATGTAATGGCGTAAGTTGTTCAATAATTCATACACGAATAAGCTCCCCAGCTAATCTCACATGCAAGGCAACGCTGAACATTTCTCATATATTTGGATATATTTTATATGTATATGCAGTGAAAAACGAGAGCGAATACGGCGCAACAGCGCCTGACTCCATCAAAATGCGATCGCCTACTGTAGGTCGCAGGTAGTTGAATACAACCACAACAACAAAAATACATACCAAACAAACTAGAAACCCACAGCGAGTGATTTAAATACTCGCGCTGATGCATGCAAATCTCCTTCCGCATTAGACAAAAAGGTGGGAAATACAGAGTAAATGAAAAAAGAGGTCGTGACCAAAAATATTTTATACTGTTGGTTTGCTCTTTGCATTACTAGGCTTAAATTCGCGTATTTCTTATTTATAACATGGTATTTACGTTACTCATTCGTAATGTTTACGACCAAATGCGCACTGAATGGATATTTAGCAGCCACACATTAGATATACATACCGCACATACGATTTCTCATCTTCTTCTTCTCTTTCTCTCTTCTTCTCTTTATCTCTCTTTCACCTTTCCACTCTCTGCATCTCCGCAGTACAGAAGGCGAGAGAGAGAGAGAGAGAGAGAGAGATGAGTGAAAAACAAACAAAGTGCGAAAATTTATAACAAAAATAATCAAGAAAATGTATAGTTTTATGGTTTTATCGGAACCTTGCCAAATGAAAATTTATATGTGAAGTAAAAGCCATAACTGCACGGAAAACGGAAGCGCCAACCTTTTTTTCTCCACTCTCTCATATGGTGCTTTATTTGCTTCACTTCGATATCTATGTTTTAATGCGGTGAGATGGTGCATTCAGGCGTTTTTCGCTTTTTATCGTTGTTTTTGTTATCTTTCGGAGAAAAAATGTCGGTTCTAAAGCTCTCGACCGTTCAACTTTTCGCTTTACAAACACATTGCTTCTGTTCAATTGACTTTCAAACGACCATTTTAACCATTCGATAACCACAAATCTTAACTTTTTTTTATTTACGAGAAGAAGATCATAAAAAAAACAGTTTGAAATTTCAATTGAATATTTATTTTTAATCAAATCTGTGTTTCTTTTTTGTTTTGCTTTGATTTTTCAGGCATTAAACGAGTGCGAAATACCTTTACGAAGAAGAGTGATTTCACATTGAATTATCGATTTGGAAACAACACAACAAAAAAGAGTGTACAAACACAAAAACGAGAGAAAGATCGACTAATTGATTGCAAGTATTTGTCCACGACAGCAACAAAAAAATTGAGTGCAGAGAGTGCACTTGAAGTGGAAAATAAATTTGTTGATTGTGTATCGATTCTCCTTTTTGCCTCCATATTCAACGAACACGCATTTGTACACACATCTGTGAAATCAACCATTTGGATAAAAAAAAAAACAGCAATCAAAAGAGGAAAAAAAGTGTTTTCGTAGTCGCAATTAATTTTTCCTCAAAAAAACCTCAAGTCATCGATTATTCAAGCGAGAAAAAAAGCAGTGCTTGTATGTGTAAACGGGCGTATGCCAATAAAGGTATCGTTGTGAGCATACAGTTTGTGTGAAACGAAAACGGTTTCTTTATTCAATTTTCAGCGTCAGTTTGTTGAATCAAAACGAAATTGTAGATAATTTACAAAGATGCCCGGCGGACGCAGAGGTTTGGTTGCACCACAAAACACATTTCTCGAAAATATCATTCGACGATCCAATTCACAACGTAAGTACCATCAATATCTTCTTTTTCCTTTTTTTCACTTTGTCAATTTGAAAAATGAGATAGGTAAAAACGACAAGTACCGACGAAATTTAACGAAATTCTTTTGCGGCGGTAAAACGAAATACGTCAGAAATGTTTTATTTACCAAATAGCACTGTTGAATTGACTTTGACCACAAAATTGAAGGAAAAAAAGAAGACGAAAAACTTTTTGTCAGTTTCCGATTTCATTTTTTATACTATTGAAAAAGCAGCGCGATGACAATGAAAAGTTTGAAAAATATCTTCTTTGTGAAATGTATGCGGTTGCACACATCTTCTCCACAGACCAATTCAATATATTTGAAATGAAGTTTGGCCAGGCTTAAAAATTGAGAGAAAAAAAACGCAAGTGTTTCAGTATTTATTCAAGACTAATAATTATTTCAACCACAAACGACGATCAATTTCTCGTTAGTGTTTTTTTACAAGTGAAGATGAATGAGAATGGGTAATAGAAACCATAAATTATGTGCTTTGATGCGGTCGGTAAAAAACCTTCACTTTAATACATGCAAAATCGGACATTAATTATTTCAAGACACCCAAAGGTTTCCAAAGTTGATGAAGGTATTTTGTTTATTGAAAATTTGAAGTTTATTTCACCATTGACCATGTTCCACATCATTTGATATCTAGATAATTATGTGTCTCGTACAGCTTCCGAGAATTAATCGCAATAAAATTTATTCGAAATGCTCGAAACCAAAAGAAGGATATTTGTGACATGATTCATTTTATGGATTTTTCTAAGGAAGCCACAGTAATAAAGATTCATACATATATCATATATAAAGTCGTTGCCTCGAACGAAAATTCATTTGGTCGAACACTAATTTTCATGCAAAAAATAAGATCGTCCTCATTTTATATGGACCATTATTCATTTATGTTGCGAGATATGCTTTCACATTTCCACTTTCTTATGCTTTAGAAATATATGCGAAAACTTTTAAGCACACATGCCAACAGCAGCTAAATAAATTCGAAAATAATGTGCACCCCAAAAACATGTATTTGCGTTTTGCTTAGCCACATTTTGCTTTTGCAAATTTATTTATCCTTAAAAAGTGCTTGTAAATTCGAAACATATACAGAAACAACACCAACCGATTTAAGATGTTGTATGTTTTTGTTGCGCGAGCAGAGAGGGAGAGAGAGAGAGAGAAGAGCTACAATCTCAAAATGTGCATAGCACAGAGGTTTAACAAATATACATTCCCGAAATGCCCCGGGCCATTCTTCCATTCTGTCACATATATACATCACCAAATTCGCTGTTATTTCTACAATTTATTACATTCGCTGGAACTTCACCAAAAAACAATCAAATACCATTTCATTCGAAACATAAATAAAACCATATTAATTATTTTCATTTGTCAATTTTGATTTTATCTGCTTAAGCGATTGCAATGTTGATTCGTCATCATTACATAAGCACTCTAATTAAAATACACGTTTGCAAGCATCGGAACAAACTTCTAACATCATTCGCCTAATATTGTGTACTCGCTATAATTAAAGCAACTAATTTGTATAATTTATTTATTTTATTTGCAGTTATAAATCAGCTAATTAGACACTTGAAACTGAATGTATGTGCGTTTAATATGTTGCTTGTATTTTTCAATATATTTATCGCAAAGTGGTTGGTAATAGCACCAGAAAGCTTTCAACGATTAAAATTGGAATCTTTCTTCAATTTCTGATAACGAAGTTTTCGAGTAATATTTGCTGATTTACATAACATTCGTTTGTCAATGTTTGCCATCAACTTTCAACAGATCATATAATTGCCTTGTAAGCCATTAAATTTCCAACCGAAAAAAAGAGACGAAACTCCATATTTCGTTTTATGTCTTGTTAGTAAGACAGGCATCATATTCGTTTTGTATTCAATTGCTGTAAATAATACATAAAATCGTTGCGAATGCGGTTTTCATAATGCCATAATTCCAATACACATTGAACTGGGCTGAAACAGCGTTGAAAATGACATGTCATTTGTGTGAAATGAGATGATAACTGCTTGAAATGTGATGTCAATTATGAATAGCAATGAAATATTCCGCATGATCAGTTGGAAATGACCGAAGACATGGGTATGAATGTACAACAAAAAAATGTATATCAATTTGACCTAAATGTCCTACGAACAACCATTTGAATGAGTCGTTATTTTTTTCTCAGTTATTCATGGCAAAATTGTTGCCGAAGATAATTGTCATGTGTAGTTGAAAAACGGCTGTAATAATGAGCCAGTAAATGTTATTTGCTCTGTTTTTAACGTATTTACTTCCATATAATCTGAATTTTCAAGAATTTATGTGTAAACACTGAACATTTCATAAGGAATTCTGTTCAAAAGCATACTAATCCATTAAAAAACGCTTTAAGCGCACAGGCTCTTAAAATGGCCTTTATATTTTGGCTGAGAATAATATGTGTTTGAAACTTGGTACGTTCTCCTTTGCACTTTCATATTATTGCTTATGTTGTTTCACTCGCGCACATTTTTGCTCAGATTAAATAAAATGATTTTCATACCATCAGCTATTTTCTGTATCATTTTCATTTGATGTGGAAATATTGTGTTCACTTATCTCCCGCTTTAGCTGTCATAAAGTAGCTAAGTACCTAAGACAAGGTACACAGATAGACAAAATAAAAATCAATTTATTCGGCATCGAGTGTACGGTGTTTTGCTCCAAGTTATACGTAGTTTTTCATTCTGGTTCAGTGCTTGTTGAAGTTTTGTGTGTGTGTCCGCGCCATGTTTAAGCAGGAAAATTCTAAGCAAATTAAAATATAAATAAAAAATGGTACAGAAATATGACAAAAAATCATGGGATTGGATACTTTGCAAAAAAAAAAAACTTTGTACATGTCGGAAACAGCCGCTTTTATTCGGGTGAAATGTAAAAAAACGCCAACAATTGCCGAAAGAAAGAACATCAATTTTGAATTTGAATTGATTTTTTTTCTATTTCAATTGAATGCGAAAAGCACGCGCGTTCATAAATTTTTTTTGCACACTTTTTTTTTGTTGTTGGGTAATAAATGTGATACATTCAAGTCAAAATTGTCAGCATTATTGTATGTCACAAGTTTCATTCGAGAGCCGCATCATTTTCGACCGCAATGAACTCAAAGTTATTTAATGAAAATTATACTTTTAAAAAGAGCGTAGAAAAGTAGAAAAGGACGAAGAAGAAGTATAACAAAACTTTGCGACTCTTTTGTGAATATTTTGGCGTGTATTCACGATATTACCGCTCTCGAGGGGGCAAATTCAATTTCAAGTATAAAACATGCGTCACGATTGTTATTCCTTTATATAATGTGCGTGTCTTTCCGTTTTTTTCTCCTGCTGATTGTTGGCATTTCTTTTGACATTATTTTACATTTCACGATACGAGTGTAAATTTTGTTTTTATACAACGATTTATGTCTCAGTTTTGTCGTTTTGGCATTACATTTTACTTTTGATACAGCCATTACAAATGGGAGACTCCATTTTCCATTTTCGCCGTTGTTCGTTTAATACCATACCGAACAACAAACCGAGAAAGAAAAAAATATATCAATCTGCGAATGGAACGCACAAAAAGACGAATCAACGAGTGAAATTTTAATTTTTTTTCTTCTCATCTTCATTCGATTCCTTTGGCTCTGATGCTCGCCGAATTTTCCTTTTCATGTCAAAAACGTTTCATAAATGTTATGCAAACGCAATTTTTCTACGTTCAATTGTCTTTCAATTGTATTTTTCATGTTATATGCTAGCATTTTGTGTGCAATGCTCCCAAGTCGTGTACAAAACGGGCTACAAACAAATACTTGATGTACAATGAATGTAATAAAGTGGTTGTAATAAGATATAGATAACGAAGAGAAGCAACAAACATACAAAGCAAAAGAGAAACCATCACCGATACGGGAACGCTTGTGCCAACCGGAATATGCGACAGTAAAAGCAAAGGGAAAAGAAACCATCAAGTAACATGGTAAAAGAGTAAAGCTTTTAGTAATGTTTCTCATCTCTCAAAGCAAAAAGACTGCTTCATATATATTGTATAATATCAATGTTCATTTTCATTGTTGCTCTTCGTCCCTATCCCTCTCAATCCATACACTCCGTACACTCAATTCATTTCATCTATACCTCATACCATTTCACTGATGATACATATATAATGTGCGTGTAAAAAAGGCACTTACATATTCATTTCTAGGGCCATCGCAAATCGAGCACCACTACAGCTGGCGCTATGAAAGGCACATAGCATCCCGCAGAACAAGTGAACTTCAAATATTCGATAGAGCAACGTGTAATGCCAATAAGATGTTTGTACAAAAAACAGACACACACAAATCGCCTGCATCTTCAGTGTTACTTCTCATAAGTGTTATTTCTTCAAGACAAACATTTACCATTTTAGATGTTTTTTTGCTCTTTTGATCATCGTTTTCGCTTTGCCGCTCGAAAAGACGAACGAAAATATTTTTTAATGTAAAATGAGATTTTATCGCACAACATATATTCTATTGTCTGCAAATACCACCATCGAATGACATTATGAACAATAGAATTTACTTTGTCGCTCCGTCGCATTTACCTTATTCGAGTCATCGAGCAACGAGTTAACGTTTATTTATTTAAAATCTACAATTTTTATACGTGTTATATCTTTCGAAATGTTACCGTAGTACTCACCCTTTTACAGAAGCAACTTACTTCATAGAAGCATCTATTTGCCTGATCCATTCAAGCAATTTTGAAACAATAAAATCAAATAACCGAAAATGTAGTCTTTCATCTTGTTAAAAGCAATTAATGGAAAAAAACCACCTAACGACAAAAGTAGAAAAAGGTTAATTTGTTTTAGCGATAATGGGTTGAACAATCACAAGGTTTACTGTTTTCATCGTTGTCATGCCATGAATTTCCTAAATAAA